GATCTAATAATAATAATAATAATAATAATAATAATAATAATAATTAATAATTAATAATTAATAATTAATAATAATAATAATATCTTAATTTAAAGAAGGTTGCACATGAAGATATAAAATCGTAGAAAACAAATAACATATCTTAATTTTAAAGCTGGCCTTCTTAACAACATATATAGAAACACAAACACCAAACATCATAAAACAATAGTTACCAACTACTTAGTATTTCATTAAGATTTTGTCACAAACGCCTCTTGTAGATATCAGATATCATTGATACCATTTTCATTTACAAATATTTTAACAAATATACATACATAATAAGTATTATAACATAATGACATAAAGACAGAGTTATGAAGATATTTATTAGATCTGCAAGATATGTTTTTATTCTTATTTTCAAAAGATGTCAGAGAATTAGAAGAACGTATATTGGATGGTATTCTATTCCAAATCTTTGCACCTTTGTAACAAAAAGTCTTTTTTACTATAGTTTTTGCGGTGTTTAGGTATACCTATTTTATCTTAAAATGTGAATTTCATTGCTGGATGGTCAAAATTTCAGATATTATGAGATATATGGACAAGCTTTATAAATAAGAATTCAAGTATGAAAATTACACCTTTCATTGAACGACATCTACCATATCTTGATTTCTTATTCGTAATTTTTTGTTTAAAATAATCCTTGCAGCTCTTATTTTTATTTTACCTACTTTATTTAATACCTTAAATTTCGTTTCCTCCACACAGTACAGCAATAATCAAAATTCTGCATTATGTATGCATTATAAAAATAACTGTTTCATTTCATCTGTCAAATAATAACATATATACGCCTCAATAATGCTATTTTTGAGTTAAAGGGTATAAATCTATATCTTATGATATATTTTTATAAAATCTATCAACAGTAAAATTATATTGGTTCCATTATTATATGGTTGATTCCCATAGGATGTCAATGTTATATAACACCATTCGCTTGAAAGCAAATTAATACTATTTTTATTTCATTTCATACAAGCATTTTGGAAGTATTCTTTTTTTTTTTTTTAAATCAAAACAATATTTTTTACATCAGATATATAGCTTTATACACTTTAAGTTTTGAACAAAATGCTTCGATTTGATAATTCCATGACAAGTTATGGTTATCCATAAACACCTTATAATTTTTTATTTTTTTTTTTTCTTTTTTTTTTTTTTTTTTTTTTTTTTTTGCTTTGCAATAGAGCCATATAGTAAGTTCATTGCAATAATTACTTTTTTGTTTCGTACACAATATCATCCATTTTGATTAACATATTGCTTAAATTGCACAATCGATTTATGGCATCCAAATTTTGTTAAAGTTAACTTTCTACTACATTTAAATCATGATCAGATACATAATAATTATATGGTAGAATCGTCAGCATAAAGATGTATATTATATTTTGTAGTAGTATCATAAAAATTTATGTATAAATAAGAATAAAAGGGGCCCCGAATAGATCCCCGAGGAACTCCAGAAGTTACAAGCCTGCTATTGTCCAACATTAACAACTTGGTTCTATTTGACAGATAAGATTTGAAAAGATAGACACTTTTATCTGAAAAATGACAAAGTTTAAACTTATGCAATAAAATTTCATGTTCGACAAGATCAAAAGCTTTTATTAGATCTAAAATACAGTCCCAACATATTTACGAGCATCTATATCTGTTAACCGTGCTTCTAATAGCCGAATCAGTGCTTTGTGACATGAATGGTACTGTCTAAACCCTGATTGAGTTTTATGAATTATGTTTGTTTTTCTATGTGTCTTTGCTATGTGTCTTTCAAATATTTTGGAAACCCTAGGCAGAATAGATATAGGTCTATAGTTGCTTGGATTTTTGTTATCGTCATTTTTGAAAATCGCTAAAATATAAGCTTCTTTGAGTCAGGGAAAATAAGCCAGCAATAGGCGTAATGATATGGTCACCACAGTAACGCATAACATTTGGACCAATGCCGTCCAAACCAGTAAATTTATGCGCATCTTATTTCTCTATATATTCTTTAACTTTAAATGGTGTAAAAGGTTCATTGACAAAAACGTCATAAGCATCCAATTTATCGTTAATTAACTCTTTGAGATGTCTGGAATTTGATTCTACTTATAACTATAATGTTTTATTGTTATATTGGCGATATTGGTGAAATGTTCATTAAGCATATATAATATATATTTGTTTCACCTTCGATATTCTTTTTGCTTTTCTAAATCATTGACGAAACCTTATTTCGCACCATTTTTAACTTTTCAAATTGTGTAGTCTTCTGTAAGTAGTCTCTTTCAAAAATTGAATGTTTTATTTCTTCAGTTAATCAATTTGGCTAAATACCACGTTTAACTCATTAAATTTTTATAGGTGCGTGTTTTGAAAGTACGTCATTAATAATATTGTATAGACACATTTGGATCAGTTATTGATTTAATAATGTAAAAAATAGCAAAAGAAAGTTCTTTTCTAAAAGTAACTTCATCAAATGTTTTAAACGATATATAAGTTATAGCTTTATGTTCTTCATTTTTATTTTTTTACTTTTTGTATATTTAAGTGATCTTGTAGAACATACTGGGAAATGATCACTAATACTATATACGGGAATGGATATTTCGCTAACATTACTAAGAACGGTTTAGAATTATTATATTTTATCTCAATACAGATATATTAAATGAGCCATGTCACGACAAAACCAACATAGTGCGTTTGCGACCAGCATGGATCCAGACTCTGCGCAGTCTGATCAGGATCCATGCTGTTCGCTATCAGTTTCTCTATTTGTAATAGGGTTAGTAAGCGAACAGTATGGATACTGATCAGTCTGCGCGGATGCGCAGGCTGGTCTGGATCCATGCTGGTCGCAAACCCATTATGTTGGTTTTGTCGTGACACGGCTCAAATATCGAAGCACGAATCTTATATGGTACTTTATTGCAGATGTAGGCTAGTATTCAACCGCCCTTTTTACTCTTACACTACTAAAATTACTTATATTAAGGTAGGTTTCATTTACTTCTTCCGTCAGAAATGTTTCACATAATCTTAAAATGTCTGTGCATTTATTTTGCCCTAAATAGACCTGTCTAAACTTATTGTGGTCCTCAATGTGATCTAACTTACTTTAGAGACATGTAACGACTTGTGTCGATGGTTTATCAAGTCAATTATTACCGTTTACAGTATAAATTAAATTATTCATGTAATGATATACATAAATGAGCCGTGCCATGACAAAACCAACATAATGCTAAGTACCCGATTGAAATGCTAGTTTATACTCATATCAATAACAATATTGAATAAAGACATGCCTTGGGAATTGGAAAACGGAGATTTGATGATATTTAAAAATAAATCAATAGTAATTATCTTAATGTGAAAATGAAATTGCAGTATTAACCAGGATTTCTACAAATTGTCTAGAATACTTTTATATTTAGTATTGTATACATTACTTATAATATAACTTTTTCTATGAAAAAAAACGACTTCATGTTTTTTTTAACTGAAAAAGATATGTATTTTATATACTCCATTTTAATTTTTATAGACTCATTAACAGAAACTATATCATTAAAGGAAAATGACGCAATTCTATCGTTCGATCTCTCCTTTATTCTATTTTATTGCATATTTGAAGCGGAATCCAAAATTCGCGCTCGGGATCCTGTCTACAACTCACCAGGATATCACAATCATACATTATTCCCTATTTTAACAGCCAGGTTAATTATTATAAGTATTCTTTAATTTTGTCACGTGATGGAGTCATAGTACTTATTCGCGTTATGCTGATTTCTATTTAAGATTTTACACTTAAGCATGTATTATTCCCAATGGGATTATACCCTCTTGCGATTTTTCTTTCCGTCAAAATATCAATAGAGTGAAACTGAGACATCAGATTTTTTTAAATAAAAAATGTATTAAAACTTTATATCTTCTAGGCAAACATTGTCCGAAACATAAAAAGATGCATCATGACTTAGATGGGGACTCACGAACCATACAAATATCTGATACTGTTTTTTGTTTACTTTTTTTATGTATTTACAAGAAGAAATAAAAAATCTTAAAACAAGAATAATAATGAAAGATATCCGGTGTCCCTGGGCAGAATGAATATTTTCTGTTGTGGCATAGACGGGTTTGTGAAGGTAATCATAGTTTAGTTTATATTTTATTGCATCAAATACATGTCATATATTATACAAATGATGAGTACATAACAAAATGCAAATGGGTTGGGCAACAAGTTCTAGGCCCTTCCCACGTAATCATACATATTCATAGACACACTTTACCTGAATTAAACAAATGACATTCGCAACATACAGAACCATAAACCTATCAACTTATACATTCCACATACTGATGAAATAATAAGATATTTACGTGAATTCATTTTTGAGATTTCGTGTACATTTTTATATGAGAAATAAGCTGAAAAACATCAAAAAGACAACTACGAAATCGTTTACGACATGTTCTTAATTTACCACGAACTAACAACCGTTTTATGACTCCATCACACTTTCAGAAAAAAAATATTGAATCGACCTAAAAAATTATTTTATGCTTTGCGTATATCGTATATTTTATCCCTGATAACCGAATCGATTGACATTGACAAGGTAAAACTGCCTAGTTGTAACTGAAGACAATGTCTAATAGTTGTTAATAGTTGCGCAGTATTTAATGACTAGTAAGAAACCGTTTTCCATTTTCAATCAGCTAATCAGTTAAAAGAAAATTACTTTAGTGTTACATTTCTCTATCCATTTAATGCCTTTAATGATAACGTAGAACTAGCCCGTGGTCGTGTTTGTAAATACGTATAGTTGGAAACGTTCCATTACACTCTCAAACAATGGCTTTTGGTGGCGAAGATTTAATTAGGCAATCGACATTGGATGTAAACACTATTTTAAAGCCTTTCATAGATTTCGACAAGCATTAATCGTGAACTTTATGTGTTTTCCTCTGTTGTATAGAAGGGATATACTAACTTTAATACGCTATTAACTTTATGACTTTTATCTCTGATTTATCACATATTACCATATTTCTAACACTTGTTTTTAACGTATGTTTACAATATGGAAAATGATGAAAAGAACCGTTTAAGTTAATTGGTCTAAAAGTCACTTACAAATGTATATGTATATATAATAAAAAAAGTTTTACGTTTAATAAAGTACAGCTGCATTTAAATGTCTATTGTGAATCACTAGATTTATCAGTGGTCTAGATAATACTTAAAGCCACCATGATGGAGATATATACCGGAATGTAAATAAATATTAATACAATTTTCTCTAATTGTCACCAAACTTAATTAAAATTGTTGTCAAAAGACTCTCACCGTACACGTTCAACAAATACAAGATTAATTGAACAAATATATTGACAAGTTTTGAATTAAACTCATCTGAAACTGGAGATTAAAGTATTTTGCAATAAAACAGACCGCTGGGAAAGTGAGCTGTTTGTTTTATTACAAATGTTGCCGTTAAATGTTTCCGAATAAAGCAAGTTTATAATGAGCGAGTGGTTACAAAGGGAGAATTAAATATTGTTGAATAGTTTTGTAAGGATACAAGCATCTCTCTGTAACTGTGCTTTTAACATACAATTTCTCCGCCGTAACATGTGATCTTTTAATCGGACTTTCTCTTCAGGAAGTAGGATTTATGCCTCAAGAATGTATGTAAAAAATCTACATTCGTAAATTTGGAAAATCGTGACGATTATTTTGGATTTTAATTTACGATTACAGTGTATAAAATTTATCATATGTTTAATTGTGCTCTTGGCTACAATTGTTTTTATGATAAACTTATTTAAAAAAACCCTTGGTGCCATTCATATTGAAAAATACAATGGTAAATTCTCAGTCAAAAAATTAGATTCATGAAAAATGGACTTGAACATATTTATTAATTATTGAAATTTAAGTCGGATTCTCTACAAGACGCTAGGTTTCTATCAAGAATATAAATATGTCTTCTGATGAACATCATCGTCACGAGGGAGGGCCACTAGAACGCATACACAAAAGAGATATGGTTCAGAGAAATGCGATGGAAAATGCCGCGTATAACAAGGTTGCTAAGCATCTAGAAAGCGAGAAGAGAGCGTTCGTGCGACAGAATACACGTGACGAGGGTGAAATGAAGAATTTACTTTACCGTTTACAGCAGCAGACAACATATAATCAAACTCCTGTCACTGACCAGGGTAAGCTTAAACAAAAAATGATATGATCGATAACTTACGATCAAATATGGCATGTTCAAATTTGATAATGAACCCCATTTTGTTCCCATAGAAACATAATGAGTTTCAGCTTTTTTTTGTATTGTAAATGTTGAATCGAAATACTTTTATTGTGTCCAATAATTTGTTCGGTCGTTATTTAAAAGCAAGTTCGTTCTTTCGTCGTTAACCCATTCGTTTGTGCATTTGCTTTGATATATTGTAGTAGACCTACTGTACTTAATTTTATAGCTACCTTTTAGTTATTTTGTTCTATAACTAGTTTTATAATGTTATAGTAAGTTAGTTCTATCCATCTTACATTAATGATCCCCGGAAGAATATGTTTTATTGGGGACATTTGTTCTTTGTATACAGAACTGTTGTAGTACAGGAAGTTCAATAACATAATTGACAATTTGGCTGAAGGCGAAAGGTACCGTCGAGTGATAACATCACTAAATCGGCTCGTAACAAATGCATGTAGTTTTCTTATTTCGGCACCAAGAAACTGGCTGGCAAACATTTATCGATGTTTATCTTGAAAATTTAAAATATCCTATTTACTTGCATTGTACGTGGGTCATTGGATGAAATAAATTCTGCGGCCGTCAGGTCATTATGGACATTTTCGGGCCATTATCGCATATTGGCGAGAAACACCTCTAAGTATAACGTTACGTTACAGGCGGCAGCAGGTGTATATATAAGAACTTGTGCCTCATTTTCCGTAATACAAATAATTCCAAGGTATTAGGCATAAACAGTCTCAAGTGCCTCGTAGACCTCATGCACCTGCCAGTAGTTTTACATATGCTTTCACTTTTTTATTGTATTTTTATCAAAATTTTACAAATACGACTGAGAAAACTTATCGTTTTATTCAGATTAAGAGCAAAGAAAATTATGTCACCATTTTACGTTTAGTTTTCATACCTTTTTAGATAATCGTCTTTGTTAAACAACCATTGACATATTTGATAAATGCCATACAGAAAATCCCCACTTTCAGACGGGGCTAGGTATAAATGTACTAAAAATTAAAGTTTTAAGAATTAAACTATTGACTGTTAAAATGTTATTGAAAACACAACTTAACTCACTAGACAGCAGATGGGTGTTAATTGCCATGTTGTGTACATATTGCTTACATGCAAAACATTTAATGGAATAAACTATGATGTAATTGACATGCCTTTGCTACAATTAGTGATGGAAATCGGATGAAATTTGTCCCAATCGATCATCGGTTAAGTCGGATGGGACATAATCGATAACTTTTTGAATAAAGTCGCGTTAAAAAGAAATAGGGAAGTATCATTTCTTCCCAATCTTCCCAAGGCACTTGATAACATTCAGTAACATGAACTTCATTTTCCACTTTTCAACATAGTTTTAACCTTATATAGTCATAATTTTACGAAATAGATTTTATTTTTCAATGGATGTCAAATAATAACATTCAAATCACATTATATTACTATTGATTACATTCACGTATTGATCCTGTTCAACTCCAAATTGTCTCTGAGATGATTTTTTGCGATCGGTGAGGTGTTCTTTAAAGAAAATTAACGTCAGAATTAATTCCCTTTGATACTTTACTGCAGTAAGCATTTTCGACGACGTCGCGGAACAATTTTTTTGTAAATCGATTATTCATGTTATTGTCGCTTTACATAACAGTAAATGATTATCGGCGACTTGCGACAATCGGAACATCACTAGCTACAATATTCAACGTATTTTACCGAATTTAATTCTGCAAACTTTTGTTGTCTGTGTTAAACAGTGAAGTACAGCGAAAATATGAGGCACCGGAATTCTGTTAATTACATGAATATTATATCATAAGAAACCGGAAATAAAGTCAATAACAAACTAATTCAATGTCATTTGAAGTGGATTTCGCGATCATGTCGTGCATAAAATGTCCCCCTCATGAAAGTTTATATACAACATTCTTTCAATAAACGTATATAACATAAACAAGTATATTGCCAGATGAAGACATCCACATATTACACGTAGACTTGAATTTGAATTTATTTGCCATTTTATATCGTGGAATCACACGAACTTGAAAATAATAGTATCCAAAAATATACCCCTAGATATATAGGATGGTAGAACAGATCTAAGATGTTAACCCTTTCCCCCATGAGCATATTGTGAAAAATGGCCATTTTCACTGAAAAGCCTCCTCTTACAAGTTCAAACTGCTATGAAACTATGAAAAATGCTTCAATACTAATCAAACTTGCCACAAATGTTGACAGGACCATTGCCTTTGTAACGACATGCTCAGTCTTAAATTTCCTGTTACCTTGGCAACGAGGGGACATCTCAAAATTGCCAAAAACCACTATTTTGCCTCGATTTTTTTCCATCAAAATTTATTTCAAAGTGCTGCAACTTCTCAAGGGATTGAGATAGAGTCAAAGGCTTTCAGTGTTGGTTACACGTTACCTTATGATCGACCTGGGGTCATTTTAAGCCTCTCACAAGTCCAAAATTTTCTTGGCGATGAGGGGGACACCGCCCCCTTCAAACCCCCGAAACAGAAGGGGGCACATCCCCCTTCTGGCAACCCCCTGATGTATCTTTTGGATGGGGGGCGGCGCGGAAAAAGTGCTCACTTTTTTTAGCAACATTTCTCAACCGAAACATGTGTTTGGGGCCCATATAGGATATTTTTTCACTATTTCAGGCCTAAAAAAAGGGGGGGTCGAAAATGCGTTGTTTCGCGTATATATGAGGTAAAGGGTTAAATAAGCATATAAGCACATGCATTTTGAGCTCCACGATGGAGAACAGCTTGAATACATGTATATACGTAATGTAAATAAATAGATTTGGCAACGTTATAAAGTAGCATAAATAGAATAAATATGGTAATAAAAATAAAATATAATTATGGGTACATATTCAAGCCATTCTATAAAAGTTCAATAAATTAAGACTTAATGTATAAATTCATATGTACATACGAAACTTATAGCAATTATTTTCATATCTAATGCATGACAAGTGTATTTTAACGTTGTGTTTTATCTCGAAACTTTTCAAATTTGTTTTAGACACGTACAAATATATTTTCAAATATAATATTTGTATAAGGTGAGTATTTTTATGCAAACAATGCGTTTTCCAGCAATGTTCTACTTAACTTGTTCCGAATGGTGTCCCCCAAGCACTAAAATGTCACGAAAGGAACATTGTTATTTAAAAATTTTACAAACAATTTTTGAAGAACTGTTTTAGTAGAAAGTGAATTTTATACATTAAATCCTTAAAATAGTAAACCCGTGTCGGGCATACTTCAGAGCCTATAAACACACGAAGGAGGAATTTAGCATTATAATTAGGTCATTATGTATGGCAAGGATGAAGACTCTAAATAAACAAGTCAATATTTGCGAATTGGCAAATAATTTGGAAATTTTACTCAAAACTACCAGATTTTAAGCAAAAAATGGACTATGAATTAGTTTTTGACACATAATACAATATATTAGGCAAACTTAATCATGAAAGTTTATTTTAGCACCTAAAACTCACTTTTTAAAGATGAAAATTAGCATTTTTGACGAGTGTTTTTGCAGTAGATCTATATACAATACTGAATAGTTTTCCGACGAACTCCGTGACAGTTATCACAAGAACGTCTTGACAAGTTATAATAAGAACTCCATTCCTCGTGTAGCACTTCCTACCCCGTGATACACTCCAATATTAATTGATACAGTTACACTGTTTGTATGTTTGTCTACGATAGTAAGAGGACTAAGACATCCTAGAAATAAGGTTCCGTATTTTATCTAAAGAGCCATTTGAATCAGTTGGTGGAGCGATCTCATCTCTGACATAATGTTGATTTTATCAGAATGCTTACATAAAATTAATGTTTAATCCTTATGAAATAGATTTTTACCAAATGCAGACCGTGCATCCGTGAAATATATTTCGCTCTTCTTTAGAACTATCTTAATTACACACTATAAACGAAGTTAGACATATGATACCAGATCCTGACACAAATGTAACTTACAAAGACTTTTTTATTTCCGCATTTGGACATAAAATTCCTTACTTCTGAGACTTGGACGTTAATCCAAATCAAAATTCAGCTTATCGTATTTATCGCATGGTTAGGGATATTTCTTTGTTTTTACTAACCCATTATATTCAGTACACTTTCAATTAGGATTTGAAAACTGTATTGCATGATAGGCACAGTGCTGTCTTTTCATTTCTTCTTATAGGAAAAAAAAACGGTTGAGTTTATTTTGCACTTGTTATAATATCAGTGTAGTTTTTACAGAGTTTCGAATGGGGCGGGATATCACACATTCTCAGTAGAAAAAAACTTAATTAGCTGGTATTGGTTTATTGTGTCTAGGGTTTACATTTGAAACAAAAGGAGAAAGGGCACAAGAGAGCAGAAACATCCTCGTTGTCGCCCCAGCCAGTGTTATATCATCGTAACAAATTACTCGTTTTATTACATAGCAGTGTTCTGTAGAACTAATAGTGCTGCAAATAGACTCCAATATAAGTCGCTTATTTAGGGGAGTAACTGGTCCCCGATCATAAACAGGGGGTTTCATATATCAAAATGTTTGGTTGGGTCCCCAGATTACGAAAATGGATTTCATTTTTACCATTAGTGCTGGCGGACTAAGAAATCCAAGATGGCGTCCAAGATGGCCGCCAAAAATATGAAAATAATAATTTATTATTTGTTACTTAAATTTGCAAGCATTAACGTTTGTTCTTTGTTTCAATAAGTTACAGGGGACACGAGTAGTGAAATAGATGAGGTTGACTGGACTGGAACGCCGCCAACCGGAAACCTATTACAACAAGAATGTGTCGCTAATCCATACCCGGTCACTATTATTCCAAAGTTTGGTGGAAACAGTCTGACGAAACATCCTGTCATTTCTGCGCAGGGTATAACAGTTTACTTCAATAAAATAAGGAATAATTTGAGGATTAAATGTGTAATTCTTTATATATCATTGTTCATTAAATTTCTAAGCAATGGATTCTGTGAATAAAAGTTTAGAATCATGTGAATTTTACGACTTCGTAGTGTAAAGAAAAATATAAAAATCTTTGGAAAAGTTGAATTTATAATTACTCTTTCCCTGTTGATGCCCATAAGGAAATTATAATGTTGCACAATTCATTTCTGGAAAAAAGTTCATTCATATTTACAGGAGTCGTATATATAGTTTATATAAACATCACGATTATCCTATGAAAACGTGCAGTAATACATTACTTGATATGCACAGACCTAACTTGCTAATTTAATTTTATTCCAGAATCATCACGAAGTAATTCCAGACGAAAGTCAAAAGAATATGAAGACGTGCAAGAATCTTTATCGAACATGACAGTTTCGAATCTATCGTCTGCCTCATCAAATTATGAACAGACGATTTCCAGTTCGTCTGCAAGTGTGTTAAATGATGACGAAGCGTCGCGTGCTTGGCTGGCTACTCCTGGTGCAATATCTTCCGTGCGACGTATGCGTAAATCTGTTACAGAACAAACACATAGTAAAATCTTAAGGAAAGTAAGTTGCGACAGCTCGGAATTCTCCCAAAAGATTTTAGGTAGTTCTCCATCTCACAGCAGAAGCAATTCACTGAAAGAGAAAAAGAAATCAAGTTGTTGGGAACCATTGTCTGCTAATAAAGAGTATCGTAACAGAAGAGGCGGGTCTTTGAAGGAGAGAAAAGCAGGCACATCAGATAGAACTCAACAATGTGCTGTCCAACGCTTGTCACGTTCATATTCGGTGCTTTCAAAAGAATCAGTTACAAGTTTGAATAAATATCCAGACGATTGTTATATAACCTGCAGGGACGGGGAAAAAGGAACAAACTCAAACAGAAAAAGTTCAAAGAAAAATGAAAAGCCTAGATTAACGCGGAAGGCGAGTAATGACTCTACAGCTTCGTGTGATGCAGGTTCCCCGTCTAGTAAGAAGAAAGGTGTAAGACGCAAAGTGGGTTTGTCTATCAGTCAAGAGTCCTCGCCTAATATAAGTCCTCTTGCAACTGAAAGAGAGACATTCAAATTTTGATTTTGCTGGAAAAGATTTCAATATGTAGCGCATATTGTGAATTCAATTTAAAGCACATGTTAAGGCAACTCGCATTACAAGACAGAAAGCGTCTCGTACGTCATAAAAATGCATATCTCTATAACTGACACGGTTTTAGGATTTATCAAAAGTTCTAATTATGTGTTAATGTAGGACTGCTTATAACATATTCATTCTTGAAAAAAAAACATATTTAGGGTATAACATGTGTATCATAATAAAAAAAATAAAATAAAATTGACAGGGACATGTGGGACGGTTTATAAATGAATAGAAAGAATATAATTGATCTAGATAAAGTAACTAGTACACACCGGACAGCTGTAAATAGTACTAAACACTGATATAAGTGCCGGTGGGAAGTAACATTTAAATATTTCAAGTCCCATGCTGCCTGCGATTGTTGAATTTGTCTTCCTCCAGTGACCCATTTAAAATTTATGACACATGCATTGATCCCGTGATTTTATCTAATGATATACTGTTACAGTCACGAGAATTACTCTCAGATAAATTTGCACTCCATCATTTAATATGCCATGTTTACATATAGAATGCCACCAATTTTTTCGTATGCGTTTAATTATGCCATATGTATTGTCCAGTGAGAAGCAGGGTAAAAACCCAACCTTATCAATCATGCTATCTGTCTAGATTTAAAAACAAACATTTCACATGAACTGTTTAGAAAAGACCTTTGGTCTGTCTACACACAATTTATTTGACTCCGAGTATCTTGCGTTTTTCTCAATATTTAAGTCATATGACTATATATATTTAACAGCTTTACTGGTGGAGTAAAATGTTTGCGCATATTTACCTATACATTTGCTATTGTAGAAATGTTTGCGGTACAATATTTAAATGTGAAACTCTTTTGTCATACGATATATAATGGCAACTTGAGTTCTGTATGAAATGGTATTAGTTTGAAAGATTTGATGGGCTTGATGCAAGGAGTAACCATACCGAATTTCATCAAATCTCAAACAATGGTTCCAGTGATGTCAGTTGAAATAGTTGTGAAACAGGGACCCTTCTGTCACATATCTCAACATAATCATGTGTATTATTTATATAATTGTCGACTCTTTCTCAATGGTGGGGGGGGGGGGGGGGGGGCAAGGGGGTAACTATAGGTCAGTTACGAAAAGACTATCACAAATGCATGACATGGTAACACACCACATATTTTGATACCTTGTTTAAACTTGGCTAATATGTTCACATCAACATTATGTGCAGAACCCATTCTGTGGCTGCTTCCAGAGAAATGACCAATACCCCACCATCTCTTAGGCACATGATTAAATGCAGGCAAAATTTGACTGATATTTAAACAAGGGCTAATTTAGCCGTAACAGCAACTTAAAAGGTTCAGCACATAATCTTGATATGGTAAATATTTGAGCAAACTTTGAGCTAAATCAGCAGCGGTATGGGTTCTGTGCATTGCCTTGTTAAGCTAAAACTTTGAGCCTAATTTGAATAAATCCTTTAAAAAGGTATAGGAATTATAGAGAGCAGACACAAAATTGTCCGACATTTGACCTTCAAGTATGACATTGTGCTTGCACAGCAGTGACATAGCTTCTAAACATGACCTTATTAAACCGAGCATTTGAGCCAAATTTGAAGAAAATCAAGTTTTTAGTGTTCAAGTGATCATCTACTAGTCATTTTTATAATTATATTTCATTATCCTCCAAAATTGAAGAGCATACCAACCTCAATACCAAATCTTAGTTCTATAGGCCAAAAGTGTGATTTGTAATTGGTCAGACAAGCTTTTAGTGGTCAAGGCCATGGTAACCTTGACTTTTAATCTTAATTCAAATCTGGTTTTGACCTGGATCCAAGGAAACCAAAACTTATGATTTCTATATAACCTCATTATATTTAACATTTCTGCCAAGCAACTTCCATACCTTAGCAGACATAAAGTTGCTAACCGACTGGGGAAAGTACTGATGACCAGGGGTATAACATTGTACATGTACATCCAAAATTGATTTTAGTATATAAAAATGAAAAAACCAAAATTAACATTTATATTTCACAGTTTAATCGAAATATATTTAAATACCATAATGACACTGTAATGTTATTTCTATTATCTCTTTTTCCGAGATGACTTAAAAAGACTTTCATCATAAAATAATCCAGTATCAACGGTAAAATAGTTAGTTCTATCAATATAATGTCCATCCGCAGCATCATAGTCAGTTTTTGGCGGTGTGTTGAGAGGACCTTTAAATGTATATGGTAACAGCTTATCATCACACTGAAACAAATGAAAAAAAAATAATGTATATATATAGTACAATTGTGACGCAATTGTGCCTTTAAATGGTCTCTTCAGCTTACTGTTAAAGCGTAGATCTGTTCCAAACACCGGAAACCAGTAGGTTGTTGTTGTCAAAAAATGTAAACAAACCCTACAAATGGCCAAATGATTCGATTATTACAGTATTTACAACTTTTTAACAACAAATTATAAGAAATATGAACTTCTCAAATACATTTTTAACCATACAAAAAGTCATTTACGATTTTAACCCACCCATGACTCAAGGAAAACCCACGACTTAAGGAAAAACAGCCATACATGTAGCTGTAACTAGGAACCAAGAAACAATATCCAATTACTTGTTTTGCAATATATGGTATTTATCATGCCACTGCCATGGAAACTGCCCAATAACACTTGCCTGATAATTATTTTTGATAGTAACCTGATACCCACCCATTTCAACAAACTTTTTTCAACAGCTTATTTTTACATTTTCATCCCATCAGCCTTTGAAATCTACACTTGCAAGTCTCTAATGAATTGTTCTACAATTGACTTATCTTTCTTATCTATTTATTATGCCCCCATTTTGAAAAAAAGGGGGTATATTGCTTTGCACTTGTCGGTCCGTCGGTCCGTAGACCAAATGGTTTCCGAGTGATAACTAAAGAACCCTTAGGCCTAGGAACTTCAAACTTGGTATGGTGATTGGTCATGACCAGTAGATGACCCCTATTGATTTTGGGGTCAAGGGGTCAAAGGTCAAGGTCACATTGACCTTGAAAGCAAAAACGGTTTCCGATCAATAACTAAAGAACCTTAAGGCCTAGGAACTTCAAACTTGGTATGGTGATTGGTCATGACCAGTAGATGACCCCTATTGATTTTGGGGTCAAGGGGTCAAAGGTCAAGGTCACATTGACCTTGAAAGCAAAAAACGGTTTCCGATCAATAACTAAAGAACCTTAAGGCTTAGGAACTTCAAACTTGGTATGGTGATTGGTCATGACCAGTAGATGACCCCTATTGATTTTGGAGTCAAGGGGTCAAAGGTCAAGGTCACATTGACCTTTAAAGCACAAACAGTTTCCGATCAATAACTAAAGAACCTTAAGGCCTAGGAACTTCAAACTTGGTATGGTGATTAGTCATGACCAGTAGATGACCCCTATTGATTTTGGGGTCAAGGGGTCAAAGGTCAAGGTCACATTGACCTTGAAAGCAAAAACAGTTTCCGATCAATAACTAAAGAACCTTAAGGCCTAGGAACTTCAAACTTGGTATGGTGATTAGTCATGACCAGTAGATGACCCCTATTGATTTTGGAGTCAAGGGGTCAAAGGTCAAGGTCACATTGACCTTAAAAGCAAAAACGGTTTCCGATCAATAACTAAAGAACCTTAAGGCCTAGGAACTTCAAACTTGGTATGGTGATTGGTCATGATCAGTAGATGACCCCTATTGATTTTTGGGGTCAAGGGGTCAAAGGTCAAGGTCACATTGACCTTGTAGGTAAAAACGGTTTCCGATCAATACCTAAAGAACCTTAAGGCTTAGGAACATTAAACTTGATATGGTGATTGGTCATGATCAGTAGATGACCCCTATTGATTTTGGGGTCAAGGGGTCAAAGGTCAAGGTCACATTGACCTTGTAGGTAAAAACCGTTTCCGATCAATAACTAAAGAACCTTAAGGCCTAGGAACTTCAAACTTGGTATGGTGATTGGTCATGATCAGTAGATGAACCGTATAGATTTTGGGGTCAAGGGGTCAAAGGTCAAGGTCACATTGACCTTTTAATTAAAAACGGTTTCTGATCAATAACAAAAGAACCCTTAGGCCTAGGAACTTCAAACTTGGTATGGTGATTGGTTATGACCAATCAGATGACCCCTATTGATTTTGGCGTTAAGGGGTCAAAGGTCAAGGTCACATTGACCTTGTAGGTAAAAACGGTTTCCGATCAATAATGAAAGAACCCTTAGGCCTAGGGACTTCAAACTTGAGATGGTGATTGGTCATGATCAGTAGATGACCCCTATTGATTTTGGGGTCTAGGGGTCAAAGGTCAAGGTCACATTGACCTTGTAGGTAAAAATGCTTTCGGATCAATAACTTAAGAACCCTTATGCCTAGGAACTTCAAACTTGGTATGGTGATTGGTCATGACCAGCAGATGACCTATTGATTTTGGGGTCAAGGGGTCAAAGGTCAAGGTCACATTGACCTTGTAGGTAAAAACGGTTTCCGATCAATTAACTAAAACGCTTAGGCCTAGGAACTTCAAACTTTGTGTGATGATTGGTCATGACCAGCAGATGACCCCTATTGAGTTTTAGGTGAAGGGGTCAAAGGTCAAGGTCACATTGACCTTTTAAGTAAAAACGGTTTCTGATCAATAACTCAAGAACGCTTAGGCCTAGGAACTTCAAACTTGGTATGGTGATTTGTCATGACCAGCAGATTTCTCCTATTGATTTTGGGATTAAGGGGTCAAAGGTCAAGGTCACAATGACCTTGTAAGTAAAAACGGTTTCTGATCAATAACTAAAGAACGCTTCGGCCTAGAAACTTCAAACTTGGCATGGTGATTGGTCATGACCAGCAGATGACCCCTATTGATTTTGGGGTCAAAGGTCAAGGTCACATTGACCTTTTAAGTAAAAAACGGTTTCTGATCAATAACTCAAGAACGCTTAGGCCTAGGAACTTCAAACTTGGTATGGTGATTTGTCATGACCAGCAGATTACTCCTATTGATTTTGGATCAAGGGGTCAAAGGTCAAGGTCACAATGACCTTGTAAGTAAAAACGGTTTCTGATCAATAACTAAAGAACGCTTCGGCCTAGAAACTTCAAACTTGGCATGGTGATTGGTCATGACCAGCAGATGACCCCTATTGATTTTGGGGTCAAAGGTCAAGGTCACATTGACCTTGTATGTTAAAACGGTTTCCGATCAATAATAAGAGAACCCTTAGGCCTAAGAACTTCAAACTTGGCATGGTGATTGGTCATGACCAGCAGATGACCCCTATTGATTTTGGGGTCAAGGGGTCAAAGGTCAAGGTCACATTGACCTTGTAGGTAAAAACGGTTTCTGATCAATTTACTAAAAACGCCTAGGCCTAGGAACTTCAAACTTTGTATGATGATTGGTCGTGACCAGCAGATGACCCCTATTGAGTTTTGGGTCAAGGGGTCAAAGGTCAAGGTTATGACCAGTAGATACTATATAACCCTTATTAATTGTTTGATCACTGGGTCAGACGTCATGCATAATAACCTTATCACATGACTAATTGGCTGCTGATAGGGGGCATACATGTTTTACAAACATATCTTGTTTATTTATGGATTTGATCTATATTTGGGGGGGGGGGGGAAACAGTTAAAAAAAAATTGTGGCATTAAATAATTCAAATATGACTTTGACCTATAAATGACCGTGACTTTTAGGGTCAAATTATTGAGTTTAGTTTAGATTGAAAAAGAAAAAGAACCCTCATGAAAATCCGTGTATCGAATAATTCAAATATGACCTTGACCTTTATCCAACCTTCACCATCAAGGTCACGCTATTTAAATTAGCTGTATTGTCACAAGTTTGTCATTTATTTACAAATTAGATTTTGTTTGTTTGTTTGTTTGTTTCATTTTACGCCTTTTTCTAACAGTATTTCAGTCATTTAGGTGGGTAGTTTCCTAACCATCGTTCCTGGAGAGTTACACCAGTACTAGACTACCTTCCTCCGCGCTAAACTACCAAAGCATCTCCCGGGGAATGAACCCATGCCAGAAAAGTAACTGGATTAGAAGTCATCGACTCTAACCCCTCGACCACGGAGGCGGTTACAAATTAGATTTAAATTTAGACAAAAGAACAGATATGACAAAACAGACTTATTCTAATATGACTTTGTTCTGCAATTGACCTTTACCATCATATAAAATTTGCTAAAATTGTCTATAACTTTTTTTATTATGGTTTTGATTCACTCTAGGATGAAAGTATTTTTATGCAAAAACTGTAAAAACAAGATATGTTTGTAAAACATGTATGCCCCCTATCAGCAGCCAATTATTCATGTGATAAGGTAATTATGCATGACTTCTGACCCAGTGATCAAACAATTAATAAGGGTTATCAAGTATCTACTGGTCATGACCTTGACCTTTGACCCCTTGACCCAAAACTCAATAGGGGTCATCTGCTGGTCAAGACAAATCATCATACAAAGTTTGAAGTTCCGAGGCCTAAGCGTTTTTACTTAATTGATCAGAAACCGTTTTTACTTACAAGGTCAATGTGACCTTGACCTTTGACCCCTTGACCCCAAAATCAATAGGGGTCATTTGCTGGTCATGACTAATCACCATGCCAAGTTTGAAGTTCCTAGGCCTAAGGGTTCTTTTATTATTGATCCGAAACCGTTTTAACATACAAGGTCAATGTGACCTTGACCTTTGACCCCAAAATCAATAGGGGTCATCTGCTGATCATGACCAATCACTATGCCAAGTTTGAAGTTCCTAGGCCGAAGTGTTCTTTAGTCATTGATCAGAAACCGTTTTTACTTACAAGGTCGATGTGACCTTGACCTTTGACCCCTTGACCCAAAACTCAATAGGGGTCATCTGCTGGTCACCACCAATCATCATACAAAGTTTGAAGTTCCTAGGCCTAAGCGTTTTTAGTTAATTGATCGGAAACCGTTTTTACCTACAAGGTCAATGTTACATGACCTTTGACCCCTTGACCCTAAAAACAATAGGTAATCTGCTGGTCATGACCAATCACCATACCAAGTTTGATGTTTCTAGGCCTAAGGGTTCTTAAGTTATTGATCGGAAAGCATTTTTACCTACAAGGTCAATGTGACCTTTCCCTTTGACCCCTTAACCCCAAAATCAGTAGGGGTCATCTGCTGGTCATGACCAATCACCATACCAAGTTTGAAGTTCCTAGGCCTAAGGGTTCTTTAGTTATTGATCGGAAACTGCTTTTACCTAAGAGGTCAATGTGACCTTGACCTTTGACCCCTTGACCCCAAAATCAATAGGGGTCATCTACTGATCATGACCAATCACCATACCAAGTTTGAAGTTCCTAGGCCTAAGGGTTCTTTAGTTATTGATCCGAAACTGTTTTTACCTTAGAGGTCAATGTGACCTTGACCTTTGACCCCTTGACCCCAAAATCAATAGGGGTCATCAACTGATCATGACCAATCACCATATCAAGTTTGTAGTCCCTAGGCCTAAGGGTTCTTTCGTTATTGATCGGAAACCGTTTTTACCTACAAGGTCAATGTGACCTTGACCTTTGACCCCTTAACTCCAAAATCAATGGGGGTCATCTACTGATCATGACCAATCACCATATCAAGTTTGAAGTCCCTAGGCCTAAGGGTTCTTTCGTTATTGATCGGAAACCTTTTTTACCTACAAGGTCAATGTGACCTTGACCTTTGACCACTTAACCCCAAAATCAAAAGGGGTCATCTGCTGGTCATAACCAATCACCATACCAAGTTTGAAGTTCCTAGGCCTAAGGGTTCTTTTGTTATTGATCGGAAACCGTTTTTACCCAAGAGGTCAATGTGACCTTGACCTTTGACCCCTTGACCCCAAAATCGTTAGGGGTCATCTACTGATCATGACCAATCACCATACCAAGTTTGAAGTTTCTAGGCCTTAAGGTTCTTTACTTATTGATCGGAAACCGTTTTTGCTTACAAGGTCAATGTGACCTTGACCTTTGACCCCTTGACCCAAAATCAATAGGGGTCATCTACTGATCATGACAAATCACCATACCAAGTTTGAAGTTCCTAGGCCTTAAGGTTCTTTAGTTATTGATCGGAAACCGTTTTTGCTTACAAGGTCAATGTGACCTTGACCTTTGACCCCTTGACCCCAAAATCAATAGGGGTCATCTACTGATCATGACAAATCACCATACCAAGTTTGAAGTTCCTAGGCCTTAAGGTTCTTTAGTTATTGATCGGAAACCGTTTTTGCTTACAAGGTCAATGTGACCTTGACCTTTGACCCCTTGACCCCAAAATCAATAGGGGTCATCTACTGATCATGACAAATCACCATACCAAGTTTGAAGTTCCTAGGCCTTAAGGTTCTTTAGTTATTGATCGGAAACCGTTTTTGCTTACAAGGTCAATGTGACCTTGACCTTTGACCCCTTGACCCCAAAATCAATAGGGGTCATCTACTTGTCATGACCAATCACCATACCAAGTTTGAAGTTCCTAGGCCTAAGGGTTCTTTAGTTATCACTCGGAAACCATTTGGTCTACGGACCGACGGACCGACGGACCGACAAGTGCAAAGCAATATACCCCCTTTTTTTCAAAAGGGGGCATAATTAATCCATTTAGACTCTGACCTTTGAATGACCTTGACCATCAAGATCAAATATGAAATTTGAATCATAATTTAAAAAAAAAATTGTTTTCTAGGAATATTCTTAAGTACTACAAGTTTCTTCCTCCAATGAGTTTTGACTTGAGAAATAAGAAAAAAGTCGAGTGAGGCCCCCAATTGGCTGTGGCTCTTGTTTAAGGTAGATACAATAGTATATATATATTGAACATGCAAATTGCAATATATTCAACATTAACAAGAAACATTGAATGTTAACATTTAAATTAAAAGCTTTTAATCAGAAAAACACTTATATGTTTAAAATGGTAATAGTTTAACACTCTTATCAAACGACAAACACTTGGCTGTTTGTACATTTAAAAGGTGCTTGAAATGGTTGAAATGTAATAATCCTATAATATGATCAAATTTTTCAAAAAATCTCACAGTACAAGGGTTTTGTACCACTGTACTTGTTGACTGACGGTCACTGCAATGCACCATTGTTGCACCAATCAATAAAGAATAGAAGCTATTAATAGAATTTTAAGGAAATGTTATACATGTATCTATTTCTAGCTTCATATCAAGGTTAATTAAGAATTTCACTGTGGAGGGCAATACAGACTAATGGCATATTTACAAGAATGTATCATTGACGAAATATGTTTAAATATAAATACATTTTGTATGCTAATTTTTTTTATCATACCAAACCAACATTTTAATGTTTTTTTTCACTGCTATGCATTATTACTCTGAGAGCCATTCATCCATTTTAATCATGCAGAGCAAAGCTGACAGGGGAGAGAACTAGAACATTAAGTTTTATTAAATCTATATAGGTTACTTGCCCCTGGGGAATATTGCAAAAATTACTGACTTGGTGATATTCATTTCAAAATAGCACCATGTGACGTCACATAAGGCTATATAGTACAAAGTTTGTTGTGGTATAATAAAGATAAATACATATACATTGTAAATGACACAGATGATTAGTTTTTTTTACAATCACATACCAAAAAGGGGCATAACTCCAAACATATTGCTTTCAGAATAATGCCCCTTGTCTAACTTGTCTAACAACTGCACTTTGCTATAATAGGCAAGTAATAAAAGTATTACAAGTTTCATGTAGATAACTAAATTAATGTTTGAATAATGGGTAACATCAGGTTTGTTATGATGTTTTTTGTCAAAGTATGAATCAAATTAATTAACTGATAACAATTAGTTACGACCAATTTAAACAAATTCAATAACTTAACCAACTGAAGGTCACCTTGTTGATACAGTTCCTCATGTATTGAGATAATTATCACCCTAATAGCCAGCATGATACAGTTTCTCATGTATTGAGATAATTATAACCCTAATAGCCAGCATGATACAGTTCCTCATGTATCAGTTTTATTGTTACCTTTATAGCCTGCTGATACAGTTTCTCATGTTTTGAGTTTATTATAACCCTAATAGCCAGCATGATACAGTTCCTCATGTATCAGTTTTATTGTTACCTTTATAGCCTGCTGATACAGTTTCTCGTGTATTGAGTTTATAATAAACGTAATAGCATGCTCATATAATTCCTCATGTGTTGGGTTGATCATTACCTAAATAGCCTTCTTGTACAGTTCGTCATATATTGGATATATATCATTACCAGTATACCTTGTATTTGGTATATGTCTTTATCATTACCTGAATAGCCTGTTGATAAAGTTCTTCAGACTCTTCCCTTAGTTTATCTAATGCCTTTTGTTCTGCTGCTTTCATTTTAAAACATGCCTTCATTTCCATGTTATGAAACTTCATCCTATATCTTGTCCAGTCTTTCATCAAAAGAATTTGGGCTTCAAGCTCCTCAGATGAGTATACAACTTTCTCACGTGTTCTGGTGCTACAAATAAACAACACTTTGAAAACAATCACCTAGACAGTAGTATTTCTTATAAATAAAATATTAACTTTTAAACGTCCCTTTAAACTATTAACAAATATCTCATTAAATTTCCTTGTCAAATATCTGTTCCATTCAGATTTCAGGACTACTAAAAAGAAATTCAAATGCGTGTTTTAGGTAAATATTAATACAGTCCAGATGGTAAAATTCACTTTACTAAAACTGTTAATAATTACATAAAAGAAGAGGGCTAATATGGTCCTGTGCTACCCAGAGTTTACAAGATGATTTGATACAGTTTTCTCTATGTACATTCATGTATTAACACCAGTTTACATAATTACAGGTCAGGAAAGCATGCACTGCACGGTCGACAGATGGCTGAGCGTTTGTAGTATAGAAACACAAACTCAACCCCTACTGACCATGTTTTTAGTGTTTTTTTTTTTACTGATGTACACAACTTGGCAAAAAAGTTGGTAGGCAGTCACCATAAAATCCATTCTATGTTTGTATCAAACCACATCAACCTCTTAATAACACACTAGTACTTAACTAAGATAATTTTGGGGTATTTTTTCTAGTATATAAATACATGCATATAAGATAGTATGCATCTGCCTAATAACTTGTTTTTCAGAGATTCAAATCATTTGAACACCCTTGATAAATGGCCAATCAACAAACATTTCTGAAATTAGTTTAACAGGTTTTACCATGAGATTTTCATAAGTATCTATCAAAATATTAATAAACTGTTGTTGAATTAAAAAGAGAGTGGCCTGACAAACAGTCAGCAAGAGATCAAAATAGCTTACCTTGTTTACACTCTGCTCTGATGAGCTAAAATATATATTCATATAATATTATTACTTCACCTTATTATTTTAACTAGATTTTATTTTGATAATAAAGAAAACATTTTATATTCTTTCATACATACCCAGCTCTAATGTCTCTTTTTAAGTGCACTGAAACTTCTTTTTCGTCTATAGGTTTTAAAATACGCCCACCAAACCGCTCGTGCCTACTCAATATCTTGTCTAGTTTTCTTTTCTTCTTGGCAGCCATTTGTGGGGTTAGATTGACTTTTACCTTCCTAATAAATATATGATAAATACAGTACCGGGTACATTACACAACAGCTGCTAAGTTGCAAATCACTCAACTATTCCAAGTGCTTGATAGTAAAACAAGTGTATATATCAGCAATTATTTCTTAAATAAACAGAAATAACTTATGTTAAATAATTGCTTCAGTTATGGGTCTTAGTTAGACACCTACAATTTTGAAAAGCATGAAATTTAATATATGAACTTTCTGTGGTTAGACAGACAGATTTAGCATGCAAATCCTCAAGCATGAATTTTCTACCATTAAAATGGAAAATTGGAAATAATTCAATCAAAATACCAGTTAATAGTGTTGAACAGTGACCTTCACTTATGCAATGCGTGTACGTTAAATTTCCAAAGAATTTGGTAGGGTTTTACTTCACAACAGCATTGTAAGTCATATGGTGACATTCCAGCTTTACTGGTTGAGGAGGACCTCAGGTGTCCACTTTTGCATTATTTCAGACAAGTACCTTAGTAGAACCACCACTGGATAGTTCTTCTCATATGAAACAACCTTAACTACTGGGCCACAGATGCTCCTTCAAGTGCAAGCATTCCATGGTTGTGGAAAGAACATGCATACAGAACTATAACTAGAAGTTTTAAAAGTCTGCAGTCAGATATAAACAAGTCAGAATCATTGCTATATATTTGTGGGTCTTAGACCTACAATTATGACAGAATTTACTATACTTATATTCAATATCAACAAATGTGACTTGTCTACCCTCACTGTCACAAATTTAGGGATCTAATTAATTATCTGCAAATTTTGAAATGCTATGTAAGTATCTTTTTAATAAAAGTAAGATTGAATAACATTTTTCATACAGTTGACATTATAACTGGAACAACTTCATTAAAATCAATAAGAATCTAAAGACATACGATTTTAAATCATCACCATAAATATTAACAGTGGTGAAAAAATTACTTACTGCACTGTACTTGATGTATGAAAACCACACATGCTTGATATTGGGCTCAACTCTAATCTAAAATAATAAAATCAAAATTCAGTCATGTACTTTAATCTTGGATAAAATATTGAATAAAAAATTAAAGTCAATAATCTAAATAAAATATTTCTTGAAAAGAAAACACAAATTACTGCACTATGAAATTAAACCTGTCTTTTAACACATTAATTTCATCTTTTTGTGTTACAATTTCAAGCTAAAAAGATAAAGAAAATAAACGATTTTAACAGCTTACAAAAGGTGGCAGTAGTAGCAGCCACACAAAGATTGAATGAGCCGCGTCAAGACAAAACCAACATAGTGCGTTTGCGACCAGCATGGATCCAGACCAGCCTGCGCATCCGCGCAGTCTGATCAGGATCCATGCTGTTCGCTATTAGTTTCTCTACTTGTTATAGGGTCTGTAAGCGAACAGCGAGGATGCGCAGGCTGGTCTGGATCCATGCTGGTCGCAAACCCATTATGTTGGTTTTGTCGTGACACGGCTCAAATGTGTTTTTCTATAATATTATAATTCTATAAAAATAAAGTGACACCAGTGGTGGACCACTGTGCACTGAGGTCCACTAAGCTATGCTACATGCAAAATATATTAAGTCTTCGCATTGCATTTTTACAAGACTTATATGTATTTTGCTATATAAGTCTATTTAAACTAATTGACTGCAGGGGCATTATTTAGATTACTTTTTGTTGACGACCATATGTCAAATTTTGTTCAAGTTTTCCTTCATGAAATATTAAAATAACAAATATGTTCATTTTAGCGATCTTCTATTTTGTCGTTTTCAACTCATCCAGCGATTCTGTAATACCTCCGAAAATCATTCCTTTTAACTTTTTATGTTCTGGTGCTCGTTGGTGTAAACCATAGCTAGTATATACCACTGTCGTCCATGATTTTGACTGAACCATACAAATTCCACAACATTTACTACACAGTATATAAACCAAATCCCTGAACCCTCTCTTGCAATCCTCCTGGGATCCTTCATATATATGGACAATCAGTTTACCAGACAAAATCTATTCCTGTTGAAAAGTGCTTTATTTTTGTTTAAACAGAATTGATTCAAAAGTCATCCAGTCTCAGTCACACACACTCTTTCCATTTCGAAGTAAATAATATCAAAACCACTCTTTGGTAAATATTGTTGATTCAGTTCTTTATTTACTTACATGTACATGCCCTTTTTTAAAGTTTAATAACTTATTTCATGACCTGGTTATGGAATGTAAAATAATCTGTTCTGCGCATATCCGAATATTAAGGCCTTAAATAGGTTATTTTAGATATGTTTTACTTTTACATCTTCTCTGCATGATCTCAGCTGATAATCATATTATATTTTAATGATAAATAATATATTTAAATTTAGTCCAAACAGTATTAATTTTGGTTGTTATTTTTAACAAAGAAATGCAAATTAAAAACCATCTAAGGGAATGGGTCATGTCTGGTTTTTTTTTTCAAACCAAGGGAGGAAACTCTGCATGAAATGTAAATAAAATGAATTGTCAGGCTTTTACAGGCTTCATGATAACCAAAAGAAAACTATAACAAAGAGCAGAATTCCAATTGCAGGGATTTTTTCCAGGATTTTGGGAATATGACCCATACCCATTTAATAGGCTTAATACCCATGGAATTGGGAATTTTAGCGATGTTTTGTTAAAAATTGGGATAAAATTGCATGACAGAAATTTTGCAGTGGATAAATGAATGCAAACATTTATTGTCTAGGATGGCATCTTCAAACATTTAAGCACTATTACAGTGAAGAAGCCCTTATTTTCAAAGATTTTAGAACAAATCATTCATTTTTTTTTTTAAACTTTCAATTGGGAATTTTTTCCTGTGGATTGGGAAAAATATATACTATTTTCAATTGGGAATGTAACCAATTGGGAATATAACCCAATAACGGCTATAAAATAAGCCAAAAAAAATCCTTGTAGCGCTCTTAGATAACATGTATGACGCATATCAGTTCAAATGAAATCAAATTCAAACTAAATGAAAATTTCAAAAAAAAAATTTATCCTATACCTAATGAGCTGTGAAAAAATCCTTAGTTAACTGGGCGCCGCCATTTTGAAATCCTTTTGAGCTAAATATAGATATCAGAGCGCTTTTAATGAGTGTCTACATAATTCAGACTATTGCTAGCAGGCATGCTAAGTAAACTTCTGGTGAAAGAATGATGTACAAAATCAGAAAATAAACCTGCATTTCATTAATAAGAATTATAGCAACGATTATGAATATAAAAAGTTACTTTAACATATCCTTTTTGATAAATTAGCACATTAAAAATAACTGTGATTAGAGATTAACAATCAAAGCACAGAAGGCGCTGAATTTGTTTGGGTCTCAGAATGTAATAAAGGTACAGGTTGTGAGATTATATGTATAGTGCCACCAATGCTTTCCATCGTTTTAATTGTAGTAAATTGGCTATAAGACTAATTGCAACACTGATATTCAATCCAATGTTTATTTGACTTAAACCATTTGAAAAAGAAATGAGTTGCCTTTACTGGGATTTGAACACCAGACCTCTCGCTTCCTAAGCGAGCGCGAGAACCCTTCAGCCACGGTGAATTTATATGTGAACGGCCTGAAGAAAACCATAAAGGGCTGCAAGTTCTGTGGTATTTTCTGATTGCAATCTAAATCGTACTGTATATCTGTATGTATTTTCCTGTATAAGTTTGTTTTTATGTATTATAATTCATTTTGCAAGGCACAGGAGTTTGATACATAAGGAATTCTGCATAACTAGAGTTGCATCAAAAAATCGTTTATGTTCATTTTTTACGACAGCCACACTTTATCCTTGCATATCATGGCTACTTCATTAACAAAGACACTTAAAAAGGAATTAAAAAAAAAAAGTTTCCTCGACTCCAGACCTCTCACTCACTAAGCGAGCGCGTTACCCCTGCACCACGGAGAAGTTATACAAACATTGTCTGAATAACATCAAGTCATTCTAAATTTAGAACTTCCATTGCATTTCGGGTTTGTAATTCCTTATTAATTTCGAGGTATTTTGTTCAGGATAAACCTGTTGTTTAAAATTGAAGTAAATAATTTAGCGAAAATCTTCTCGCCCAAACAGTCCGACATGTAGAATCTATATATTCCACTACTCGGTTTGTGTAGTATTCGGTAATCGACATCGCTAAAAATAGTATTTTCATTGATAAAATCATATTCATCCGCGTAATTTGTGATTGTGCATTTATTGACAATTCTATAAGCCAACGCTATTTTTAAACTTTGAATGCGTTGTAATTTGTTGGATACTTGTAACAAAATAAAAATATTTCTTTCTTTTAAATCGCTAGTTTTAAGCTGTTTTGAGAACTACTTGTTGTTAGGTTTGTCGTAAACTTCTGTGTCAGAGATTGAATTTCCGCTTTGTATTTACTTATTTTCAATCAGAAAATACAATAAAACAATATTAGAAATCTTCGACCATTCGGGAATTATTTTGCTTGAAAATTAATGTGCCTGTCTTTGACCATCTTTACGCAGTGATCTCCCCTGAATTTTTCACGTTTGTGTACATATAAAGGGAAGTAACCGCTTCAAAAAAGTGGACTACTTTCGGCATTTGCAATTAACAGCATTAGACTCTGAAATTTCACTACCATTATTTATTTGGTCTGACGACCCAAACAAATAACAAATGGCAGACGGGATTTTCCTAACGCTGAAGCATGCGCAGAGGTCCCCCTTTACGTTTGAAGATTTTCGGAATATTCCGAGCGCTCCGATGATAGGTTGAACACCACCAATTTATTTGTTTTGTTTATGGTACAAAATGGCTTCAAGAAAGATCACACTGCTAAAATCATAATTCATAAGAGCTTTCCGCGCCATAGGTAGCACCTAATTTCATATTAATATACGTCTACAAACAGAAAATTCACCGTAAAATTCTATTAAAACAGTACAATTCAAATTTTAAAAGTCACTTTCGCTTACTTTCTTCAAAAATCTCACTTACGTATTTTAGGCATACCGCTTTTAAATGTGTTTTAAATCGCACCAACACAGTAGTCAGTATAGGTCATATTGTGACTTTCTACTTTTACTGGTGGAGGAAATCCTCAGGTAACCCTCTGACTCTGCTTTATTTCAGGCACAAATGGATCCTTGAGTAAAACCACCAACATACCTGGAAAATTCTCCCAGCGGACAATTACCCTTACATTTTTTTTTACGTATTTTAGGCTTTGGCTAGCATAAGGTATTCAGCGTTCCAGTTTAAACGTGGAAAGTCCGAGCCGGGCCGAAGGCCCCCCAAGGGCTGTAGCACTCTTAAATAACATGTATGATGTGTATCAATTGAAATGAAATCAAATTAAAAGTAAATAAAAATTTCAAAAAAATATATATCCTATACCTAATGAGCTGTGAAAAAATCCTTAGTAACTGGGCGCCGCCATTTTGAAATCCTTTTGAGCTAAATATAGATATCAGAGCGCTTTTTATGAGCGTCTACATAATTCAGACTATTGCTAGCAGACGCATGCTAAATAACATTTCCGGTGAAAGAATAATGTACAAAATCAGAAAATAAACATGCATTTCATTGATAAGAACTATTGTAACGATTATAAATATAAAAAGTAACTTTAACATATCCTTTTTGATAAATAAGCACATTAAATAATAACGTTAAAACAACAACTGGGATTAGGGATTGACAAAAATGGCGGACGGGATTTTCCAAACGCCGACGCACGCGCAGTGGTCCACCTTTACGTTTGGAGATTTTCGGATTATTCCGAGCGCTCCGATGATAGGTTGAACACCACCAATTTATTTGTTTTGTTTTGTTTTACTTGAGAGTTTTTACCGTAATCGGAAATACCAGAGTTTAGCTGTACATACCGGAGTGACAACACGGCCATTATCAAGGCTTTGAACGAAACGAAACGTTTACGGTACAAAATGCTTGCAAGAAAACTCTGATTTACATGTACACTAAACATGTTATGCTAAATTCATGAGAGCTTTCCGCGCCATAGGTAACACGGCAATATCCGGTTAACGCCCCCTAGGGGCATTTCCCATTTACATCTGATCTGGGTCACCTAGACGCTTGCTAAATCTATAAATATAATACGGACACTATATTTCCGTGTATTTTCGTAAATTATCGTATGATTCCGTAGAAAGCATTTACCTTTAATTTCTTAGAGTGCGATGAATGTATCTTCGGACTGATCCGTCAAGATATTCGTATCTACGGTTTCCCACGTTGAAGGCGTACAAACCTCGGCTGTAGTTACCTCGTTCAAAAAGTGTAAATAATGCTTGAAAATGCCTGTAAGCAGGACCGTAACGTGCTAAACCTATCAAATCAACCCACTCAAGAAATATAACCGGATTTAACCCATTAACATAAACAAAAGCAGAAACCATTATTCTTTCAAAATGCCTTAAATTCAATGTCCAGAAGTGACGTCTTATAGTATATGGCCAAAGATTAGCAGGTCCAACTATATCTTGAATAACCGTCCATTGAGTATAAATTTCACGATTTCTATTAGACATTATTGCAACGTGTCACTTTACTTTATTTGGTAATACCAATCACGAGATTCACGAAATTAGTGGGACCTTATTTATGTGTTTATCCATATATGGTAATAACACATGAAACAAATGATAATAAGGTTCAATATGGGATAAATGACATCCACGAATTATAACTTTGTTAAAATGATTCTTAACCGGGTGATTTTTTTGGTGACTGAAATATGTTAATTCTTTAAATGGAAGTAAGTAACTTAAACTGAAAGAATGCAAATGTCCATTTTCTGAAAGAAATAAATCTTCAGTGTCATGTTATAAATGCAGAATTATTATAGCTGTGTTATATATACTCTGGTTATCTCACCCGGGGCAGAAAACCAGAGTATATATATAGCGAGAGATATTTATGAAAGATTACATACATGCTACTAAAGTGAAACTTTTCCGCAGGAATAGGGTTTTCTTAAGGGAATTCATTGGTGAAGAAAATGGGGTTTGGCAATATTTTTGGGAAAGTGTTTTAATAATTTAATTTTACGGAATGAACGCATTTACCATAGAAGGCAAATCACCCGGGAAAGATTCCTTACATGCAGATATAATAGAAGGAATAACACCCGGGGGATTTACCTTCTAGCATATATGTATACGTTCATTCCGTAAAACATCATTAAGACAGTCCCCCCAAAACATAACCAAGCCCCATTTTCTCAAAAATAGAAGCCCCCGAAGAAAACCCTCTTCCCGGGGAGAACTTCCCCTTCATTAGCATTTAAATATAGTGTATGAAATATTTCTGTCGCTTTATATATACTCTGGTTTTCTGCCCCGGGGCAGATAACCAGAGTATATATATAGCGAGAAATATTTTGGAAACATTACATACATGCTACTTAAGGGGAAGTTTTTCCCGGGAAGAGGGTTTTCTTCGGGGGCTTCAATGCTTAAGAAAATGGGGCTTGGCAATGTTTTGGGGGAACTGTGTTAATGACTATTTTTTACGGATTGAACGCATTTACCGTAGAAGGCAACTCACCCGGGAAAGATTCCTTATATGCAGATATAATGGTAGGAATAGCACCCGGGAGATTTACCTTCTAGCATATATGTATACGTTCATTCCGTAAAACATCATTAAGACAGTCCCCCCAAAACATAACCAAGCCCCATTTTCTCAAAAATAGAAGCCCCCGAAGAAAACCCTCTTCCCGGGGAGAACTTCCCCTTCAATAGCATTTAAATATAGTGTATGAAATATTTCTGTCGCTTTATATATACTCTGGTTTTCTGCCCCGGGGCAGATAACCAGAGTATATATATAGCGAGAAATATTTTGGAAACATTACATACATGCTACTTAAGGGGAAGTTTTTCCCGGGAAGAGGGTTTTCTTCGGGGGCTTCAATGCTTAAGAAAATGGGGCTTGGTTATGTTTTGGGGGAACTGTCTTAATGATATTTTACGGAATGAATGACATCTAGAATAAAAAAGGCAACTTCCCCGGGACGTTTGCCTACCATAGTTTTACGTAGTCGGTAACTCTCCCGGGGCATTTGCCTTTTGACAATATATCATGTCGATATCCGTACTTTTAGTTGTAATAACATTCACTATGTAAAATGCTTTATTACGGAATGAACAATATTGAAAATAAAATGCGTATCCTTGTTTTACGTTTAATGCACAGGTATAAAAATAACACATTTACAAATTATAAATATACGTTAAATTATGTTCCCTTCGGAAACCTCTCATAAATTACTTGACCAATGCATTTTACCAGCTTTACACATGCAAAATTTCGTGCGTTATCCGACCTCGTGCTAAATTCATAAAGTGACCAGAAGCGTTGCACAATGGACGTCGACGAGCGCTCTACATCATCCTCTACATCATCCGGTACAGCTAATGCCGGAAATTTCAGGAGAAGAATTATTAATCCGGACGAAATAAACATATGTGATCTAGATAATCCATGGAACTTTTTCAACCTCATGAACCAGGATGATTCCACTCTGAATAAATGGCTAATTGAGAATCACTTTATGCTTGGAACAATTCCTTGTACAAAAGCTGATAGTGCTTCTTGTACATGTTCAGGAACTATGAGAGTAAGTCAGCGGGCTGGGAGAATATCGGGGGCTTCATTGCGCTGCAGTAGAAACCGCAACCACGAGCTTGCCATTAGGACATACTCCTTCTTTGAAGCTTCCAAACTTTGCACTCAGGACATTTTTATGTTTATCAAATGTTATCTCGATGGATTGTCCTTGAGGCAAACTTCCCTGTTTGCTGGAGTGAATTACAAATCAACTGCGGTGGATTGGGCTTCCTTTATTAGAGAGCTGTTTAAGGAGCATTTCCACAGAAACATCAAGCAACGAAAGTTCAACGGGGAAGTGGAAATAGATGAATCTTTGTTTGGTCGGAGGGTGAAATACCACAAAGGCAATCCAAACAAAGGATTGAAGGTAATATTATTATATTACATAATTTTATATTATAAGTAATGAATATTGATGTATCTATCTTAAATCTACCAATGTCTACTGCAATATATATATATATATATTTATTTATTCATTTATTTATTTAAATATAATTTATAAAAATATAATATATAAATATAAAATAGAAATAACATATGTAAATAATTGATAATTTAAAATTGAAATTACAATACAAAATAAATGAAATGAAATTTTAAAAATAGTTTTCTTTAAAACCCTTGCTGTTCCTTTAACAATTTTAACAATTTAATAACATTTAGATTTAATTATCAGGTATGGGTGTTTGGCTTGGTCGAAAGAAGCTCCAACAGCATCATATTGTATCCAGTTGAACACCGCTCAAACGAAGTGCTTATACCCATTATTGAGCGACACGTAGAACAAGGAGCCACAATCTACAGTGACGGCTGGACAGCTTATTGTCAGTTGAATCAATTGGGATACCGGCATTTCACAGTTCTGCATAAATATGCCTTTAAGAAAGAGTACAAGAACGTTGAATCCGGTGAAATTATAAGTGTCCACACCAATAGAATTGAGGGTGCTTGGAAGCATGCCAAGGAATATTTCCGTCGAATGTCCGGTACACAAGCCACACAATGGGAAGGGCATCTTGCCGAGGTGATGTGGAGGTCAGAGGTTAAAGGACATAGGTACCAGGCCTTTTTTGACCTCTTGAGGTCAGTGTACACACTGGCAGGGCCCCCTGAGTATCAGTACACCACACCACTTTTCGATTCGTGGCCTGGTCCAGTAGTCAGTAACATAGGTAATTGGACCCTTCAGCCAGAATTGAAGGATGCGAGCAGCAATGAGAGAAGCTCTACAGGGGAAGATCATGTAGAAGCAGTTGATGTTGATGAACCCGCTGTATCTGTACCTTTGGGCTCTGTAGACAATCCCCTTTTATTATCCTCATCTTCATACGAAGACCTTATTCCACCTGGCCAAAGACCGCGGTCTGAACGAGGAATTAGGCCAGAAACTGCTGCATTACTGAGCGAGTTATTTTCCGATACTTCTTTGGACGACACTATAGTAGAGCCTGATCCATTGTACAAAAGTCCTTCTTCCGGGCCTTCTACCATCCCATGCCATGGTGCTGTACAAAAGAAAAAGAAAATAAACAAACAGAATAAAACAGACAATGTGTGTTGTCCGAAGGGATTTGTACCATCAAAGACAAAACCTAGGAAGTCCAGGTCTACGGCAAGAAACCCCTACACTAAAAATAATTATTTAGGGTGGTCGTCATCAGATGACGATTTTCAGTAGACAAAATGTTAACTGTATGTAAATAAAGATGTGTAAATAGACAACACGCGTTTGCTAAATAAGCAATGAATTTGGATATTTTAAAACTACAAGCAGTAGGATTTTGCCTACAAATAGTAGAAAGACAGAGAGAATAGGAAAAAAACTATTCACCTTGTAATATATTGTGTATAAGTGTCATATACAGGCAGGAAACTGGATAGAATCGCGCGTAGCGGTAAGTTAATTTATTATTACTAATCGACATTATTACGCATGCGTTAACTTTCAAGCGCCTCAATGACCCAGATCAATTCATAAATAAATATTCCCCTAGGGGGCGTTAACCGGATATTGCCGGTTACACCTAATTTTATATTATGACGTTAATGCCGCATCGGACGAAAAAAAAAATGTTTAAAAAAGCGGCTTATAAAGTCTCCGTCAAAATTGCATGGAGGTAAGTTATCTCCATTTTTGCTTTTAACCCTTCAGGACAAGAAGGTCAACTCGGCCCTACAATATACAGAGATTCATCGATTTTGCAGTGTCTGACGACCTTTCAGCCACCTTTACCTTAACGAGTTTTTGAAAGTGTCCATAAATTCGGATACGCTCAAAATTGATATAAAATTCATTTATTCTGGTAAACATTGTTGAAAAGAAAATCATTTGATTTTTTCTCCGAGGATAACAGTATTTTATCATTACACCTGATATAGCAAATAATATATTTACAGTACTTAAAATGCAACCGTTACCTAAGAAAACATCTTCGGATTGATAACAGCGATGCCATTGTCATTTTTTGTTTATTTAATTTTTTTTTTGAACGAAATAAATTTTCTTTATATCCGAAGGATCAACTCTATGCATACAATTGAAAAAGAGTTAAATCAAAAAAATATTTATTGTGGCTCTTTTGAATAAAATTTGCATATTAAAAAAAAAATTTTAAGTGTACAAAAATAATTTTTTCGTAGACTTTCTAATTCTATTATCATAATTATTGGTTTAGAAAAAGCTAAACCATACCATTGCCACTAGAGTTTCGCGAAAAACAAATCAATTGAACGAAAAAGGTACAACCCCCACCTCAAATCAAACAGTAATGCTTTCTTGACAAAGATAACCCTTTATATATAAAGGTGTTAGAGATATAGATATATATTTTCCTTTTACAAACCTGATAAGAACGATGAGGAATTCCCCAAGTTAATCAACTCTGGTCAATTCTTGGCAAGATTCCCAGGAGTAGCTTAGTTTGGATCCTGGGTAAGCATAAATTGGTTAAATGAATCCACAACAGATAGCTGTAGGCACAAGAGCATTTACGTCGCTCTTTTAAAAACCTTCTAAATACTATCCTACAGCAAATGGTTACTTCCCCCACATAAATGATCTCCATTGATAGTGTTATGGGCAAGATAAGACTATTTGCAGATGATACAATAGTAAATCTTACAATTAAAATAGAGTAAAACAGAATCCCTAAAGAAATTCCAACACAACAAAATTGAAAATGTTGCAGGCTCGGTTTGATTGAGCCTGTTCATGGACGGTACTGGAAAGTGCAAGTTACCGTCCACGCCCCCAGCACCGGCTTAAGCAGAATTCAACATTTAACACGAAAATGGTGAACTTTTGAATTTAGAGACATCCGCAGATGTGTTCATACGGCGGTTATCATGGAACCTTCAATGTGACACAGTAGTGCCATTCCATGAAAAGCGGCGTATGGTCCCCCAGTAAAGGAATGCTTTTGCCCTAAACGAGAAAACAATGGGCGGAACTAAATAAAATAGAATTTTGATTTTGAAATCAACCCCCAAACCCTCCAAAAAGATCTCAACAGTCTTGAAAACTGAGAAACTGATTGGTCGATGGAATTTAATCCAGATAAATTTGAAGTCCTTAGTATAAGCCACAAGAAACATCCAGCAACATTCTCATATAATTTACATGGTAAAAAAACTAAAATCCATTGACGCTGCAAAATATTTTTGATGTAAGCCGTAAAATAGATTAAGACTTATAAGCACATATTATTATGGATAAAATAATACGTACACTTAACCTAATAATCAAGAATTAAAACAAAAAAGAAAATGAGGAGTCAGTCATATTTCAGTAATAAGACTGGCCCAAAGAGCGTCAGTATCAGTAGCAGCAATCTGATATATACTCAACCATGAAAATATGCGTTATAAATAGACATGTATATGCATCAAAATAAAATTGAAAAGTTTGAAATGTTTGTGTGGCAGTCGCTGATCTTGAACTGGCCTAAAACTGAGATAAGTCATGTGGGGTAAGATTTTGAGAACAATAAATAAATTGATTAATTAATTAATATTGAATCAAATCAAAAGTAAGACAAAAAGGGTTTAAAAGCCGTTATCCCCATAATAAAATATGGAAAAGACTGGTCAGCAGTTACCACAAACTCACAAAATATAATAAATGATCAACAAGGAAAGGCGGCGTTCAATGAACGCAACGCCCAAAGGACCCAGCAACAAGAACCAGCGACAATGAGCCCAGGAGGACACCAAACAAAAACAAGACAGGGCGCAAGGCAGAGCAGAGACAGGCTAATCACTGAAATGATAAATAAAACAATAAAACTCAATACACATACATTTGTGTTAGTATCATGAGTAAGCAAACATATTTGTTGGCATAAAACATGATGCTATATAAAGATAACTAAGGGTTTAAATAATTCTACAATCACTTTCTGTGCAGTTTACCTGACTTACATTACAGTATTTTTTCAAATCTTAACAATAACGCATTACTTGTCCTGCTAGTGCTATCTTTCGACTAACACCCCTTCCTGCACCTTTAAAATGCCTTTGTTCAGAACGTTGCCCCTTAACTTCCCGAGGCACAACAGTAACTGAAAACGTTGATTCTGTACTTCAATAGGTATTCAAAATAACCATCTAGTAATGAGTTTATTATTAAAGAAAGTAATATTAAAAATGAGAACTTTTTAATTTATGTACATATTATTTATATTGTACGTATATGCCATCCATTTCTGAATATTTGAATGTATAATAGAATTGCTTGAATTGAATGAAAACAAGATTTATGGAGAATTTGACCTCAGAAAATTATCTTTGATCTTATAGTCTGTCCCACCAAATTTGAGTATTCCCTTTTTTATTAAATAAAATAGGAAAATCATTTAAATCAATGTCATATTAACCCGAAAGTCAATATCTCAAGGCATGTTTTTCTTTTTTTATCAAAAAGTCAGTAATATGGTCAAAATGTTAAATATATTTTTTAAGTTGTAACTTGGCGTAACGTCCATTTCAAAATGGCGGCGCCCGTACTGACGTCATTTAGGGTTCGTGAAATGTACACGGTAATTGTAAAAAAAATGATTATTCTTATTAACTTACTGACCAATAGCTAAATGTTATCATTAAAATGAAAGTGAGAACAAAGTTCGTGTCAAAAAGGAAATTTTACTAGTAAACCATTGTTTAAAATAATTAAAATCATTTGAAGTGAAATACCGCTTTATAAATTCTTACATACAAACAATTTATATAGTAAGTTTACAGATACTTTTTCAGTAATTTAGTTATTGTTATAGGAAAATTATCTTCCCTTTTACCGAGGCATATTGCATTGACACCATTAGAAAATGAAACAAAATGCGTATTTTACTGAAGAATAATTAATATGCCAATGAATATGCCTATCGACCATTAACACTAGTAGACACTTCTTACTTTGTCAGTTATTCTTACACGGCACCTACTATTAAACGTGTAGATGAATTCGCAAGTAATTTACAAATAGTTCACCCCAGCCATTTTTTGAAGACACTTCACCCCATTAGACACTTAATGCCCTTTAGAGGTGTAATCAAGGGTAATTAGAAATATTCATTGCTTTTAATAAAGTTTTATTGTATTATAAATGTAGTCTTAAAAATTGAAATAGTCTTGTTTTACTTTCCTAAAATGTTATAAAATTACGTGTCTAGAGTTAAATATTTTATCAAAAATTACTAAAAGTAAAGAAACTTAACATAGAAAAAGGCTTATTTGTTATTGAAATACTTTATCTAGAAAAAATGAGTGTTTAGGGTTGAAGTGACTTACTGATTTTGGGAGCTGAAGTGTCTTGTTCAAATTTTGAGGGTCGAAGTGTCAGGCAGAAAAAGTGATTTGTTCCCTTCATATCAAATCTAATCATAATTTGTTTTAAACATATTTTATTCGATATATTTACATTATATGATGAACAATATTATTTGGGATTTGGCAGAAAGCTATGAAATCTTATGAGTGTCCTGTCCCAGAATTAATCATAATTTATTTATTGGCGGTATGCATATAAACATTTCACAAAGCTTTCGACCGACATCCATACATGTTAACATAAAAACTAATAAAAGAAGCAATTAATTGAAAATCTTTGAGAGACAAATGGTATTACAGGTTTAACTAATTGTAATACTATAAAATAGTGTGGGTATATACACATATATAGCTTTATTATAGAATAATAATATATTATAATATTGACATGCTAGAGATAACATTCAATTTACTGTACTATTAAGAAATAGATAATATATTTAAAAACAAAACGTACACATTAAACATGTCATAAGGGGAGTGGGCTTAAAGCTCCATTCTAAGACATGCCTACCAGAAGAGGTGGTGATACTTACTGGTCTATAATTACCTTTATCAAGAGTATTGTTTTTCGTACGGACCAGAACTACCTATGGGGAAAAGCTGATGACTGGAAACTCAGATCATAGCCATACTGTATAGATCTGTAATATGTTCCGCAAATCATATGCAAATGATTGAAATTGAAATCGAAACAACAATAAAAGATTGCAATTAAAAATATGTTTATTATCATAATTATTATATTATTTAATGTTATGTACTGTGTAAACGCATCTAACTTTAAAACGAAAAAATGTAATTTCGCGAAAATAATGATATTATCGCATTTAAGGAAATCCCTGGAAGTAATCGTACGGTGAATGTTTAATTAGAAACGTTCAATCTTTTTCGCGCCAAAAACGAATTCCCCCAGAATAGCATGCCGCTCTAAGTAAAGGACCCTCGTGACGAAAAAATAACTATGGTGCTTCAAAACAGCGGTAAATACAGAAGCGATCAACAACAAAATGATGGATTGTCAGGGTATGATGCAATGATTTGTTCTGAAGAAACCGTTTCTTGGCTATTCGTCATTCTAGGGCTTTTTGAGAGAAAAATCATTTAAAAAATCACGCGCAATGTTGGGCCAAATTTTTAAAAGTGGAAGACGTGTAAACAACAAACAAAAATTACATGTTATTAGAACTACATATGTTTCTTAAAGTTCAAGATAACAAAGTTTAAATCAAAATATTTACGTACACTGAATTTTTGTCCAAATATTTAGACGTAGGATGGTCCCCTATGGTACCACTGTTCTTATTATTTCCAGCAAATTGTATACATAAAAAGAACTTGAATTTACTATTTTATCAAATTGTGTTTAAATGTCACATCTTGACTTTAAAATACACATGTCATTCATAGAATAACTCAATGATTTAAATTAGAATCATCTACGGTTAGTCCGCCATGTTTTGAATGGGAGCTTAAATGGAGAGCACTATAGTACCGTGGTATGTAAATTGATGGCCCTTTTTGGCTTTAGTATAATTTTTTTCAACAGAATATGACGTCACTACAGTTTCAGCAGACGACCTTTACTTGTCGGAACATGAAATTATCAGTTTAACTGATAAATATGGGGTAAAATAAAGAAGTATTTTCAACACATGCGGGCAGCTTTGGATTTTTCTATCAATGACAGAAATTTATTTGAAATGAAAATATTTTTAACAATTTCTATCCAAATTAAAAAAGGAACACTTCCAGTTTCACTTTCATGGTGGAAAGAGTATTTGGTGGCGTTCAGTGGGTAAAGAAACTAATTTTCTGCTTACACCGGAATAGGAAAAGACGCGGTACCCGCGGGGAGTACTATAAACCGCGGATTTGAAACTATTTTTTCATTGGTCAAATCCGCTTTAACGTCTAAAGATCTCTATTTATAAAATTTTTAAAAGTGGAAGACGTGTAAACAACAAACAAAAATTACATGTTATTAGAACTACATATGTTTCTTAAAGTTCAAGATAACAAAGTTTATATCAAAATATTTACGTACACTGAATTTTTGTCCAAATATTTAGACGTAAACCGCGGATTTGAAACTATTTTTTCATTGGTCAAATCCACTTAAACGTCTAAAGATATCTATTTATAAAAAGTCCATAGCAAAATGAAAAACAATAAACTTGCGAAATAATACTAACTGCCCACACAAAATGTTATAAATAATGCTTGGTATTCATATATTCCTACCACAAGTCTGTATTTTCGTTCTCAAAAATGTTTTAAATTTTTAATCAACTTTACAAAATCCCGTGTAAACAGCCTTCATATTGGTGTGTACTGCATAGTGATGATTACAATCTTTTAGACAAAATTATTATAGCGCGCTTCTGTCAGTGCCTTAAATCACAAGAGCAAAAATTTCGATCTGATTAATTTCGTAGTACATTTTACAAGTGATGTCACTCAGCAACCTAGAATTTCCGTTATGTAGGGTCAACACAATATGTCTTATGTTTCTTCTAAAATAAATGGATAACTAAACTACTTAACATGGGCAATTTTTGCATATTTGAACAGTTTTTGAGAGAGAAAAATGCTTCCGTTTTTATGCAATAAGTTGCTTTTTGTGTGCTGTACCAGTAAATTCAAATTGACTCGAGAAGTGTGTCTATTTATTAGCCAGTTAGGGAAAGACTTTGCATTTTCCTATAAACGTAAAACTGAAAAAAAGAAAATTCAGTGTCTTTCAATGAAAGACATTGTTTGACAAAAATGCCTAAACGTAAAATAGATTAATTATTTTCGGTACCTCATATTGTTAGGTAAGTGCATGTCCCCCAAATTTTTTTTCAAACCTCCCACATTTTCATTTGAGTGGGGAACAATCCCCCATAATTTTGAAATTCTAGATGCAACACTGCATCAAGTTGTCATGTCACATCCAAGACCCATGTCCCTATCTCGAGGTTATTCAAGGTCAATAAGTTAGTAGATACTCATCCTCACAAGAAGCGAGTTTGAAGATAAACATTCCTGTGTGGACTTTAATTTTGTCATGTGTGAAGGATTTTGAAATTGCTTGGTACAAATGTGTGCCACAACCAGGTGACATGTTGGTTAAAGGCCCATGTCACTACCTAAATGGTGAAGGTCACACTTTGAGCTTGAAGGCAACCATTTGCCCAACATTCATGACTGGACAGTAACTTTATGCATTGAAAGATTTTGAAATAATTTGGCACAAATGTCTACCAGATCATGATGATTTGTCGTGGTTAAGACCCATTTCCCTAAAGCGAAGGGCAAAGTCACACTTTCTTTTTAGATAATCTAGCATGTATCTATGTCTACCACATCAAGAGACTTATCCTCGGCCCACTTCACTTTCTTTAATCTTAAAGACTGTCACTTTGTCATGCATTGAAGGATTTAGAAATAACTGGACGTAAATGCCTGCCACATCAGGGTTTTTTTCCAGGATTTTGGGAACATGACCCATACCCATGGAATTGGGAATTTCAGCAATGATTTGTTAAAAATTGGGAAAAAATGCATGACTGAAATTTTGCAGTGATTAAATGAATGCAAACAATGACTGTCCAGGATGGCATCTTCAAACATTTAAGCACTATTACAGTGAAGAAGCCCTTATTTTCAAAGCTTTTAGAACTCTAAAATACCAGTAAGCCAAAAAAATCCCTGCACTAAAAGACGATATGTTGCACCCATGTCCTACCTCCCAAGGTTAAGGTGGTAAGTTTGCTATGAATGGCACTTAATTTCACAAAAACAATACTAGGCAGAAAGTTACAAGTTTTTATTCTCTGACTTATTTTCACAGTACCTTGTTGATAAATTAATTGACTTAAAGATAGGAATCTGTCTCTACAGTGAGCTTATGTACCATGCATGTTGAATTGAAAATAAAAAATTTGATAAATTGTGTGTATATGATAACCCATTCTCAGTTGTTGGAATTTGGTTTAATGGTTTCCTCTTTTTATATGCCCGAAAGAAATTCGGGCATATTATGTTATTCCCCCTGGCGTCCGTCCGTTAGCAATTTGGTTTCCGGCGCATAACTTAAGTTCCATTTGGCCCACAGTATTCAAACTTCATAGGATGATTACCCATATTGGGTAGAAGACCCCTATTGATTTTAGGGTCACAAGGTCAAGGTCACTATTACAGTAAAACTGAAAATGGTTTCCGGAGCATAACTTAAGTTCCAGTTAGCCCACAGTTTTCAAACTTCATAGGATGATTGTCCATATTGGGTCGAAGACTCCTATTGATTTTTTGGTCACAAGGTCAAGGTCAATATTACCGGAAAACTGAAAGGTTTCAGGAGCATAACTTAAGTTTCATTTGCCCCACAGTATTCATATTTCATAGGATAATTGTCCATATTGGGTAGAAGACCCCTATTGATTTTGGGGTCACAAGGTCAAGGTCACTATTAGCTAAATACTGAAAATGGTTTCCAGGGCAAAACTTAAGTTCCATTTGGCCCACTGTATTCAAACTATATAGGATGATTGTCTATATTGGGTAGAAGACCCCAATTGATTTTGGGGTCACAAGGTCAAGGTCACTATTACGATAATACTGAAAATGGTTTCCGGAGCATTACTTAAGTTCAATTTGGCCCTCAGTTTTTAAACTTCATAGGATGATTGTCCCTATTGGGTCAAAGACCCCTATTGATCTTGGGGTCACAAAGTCAAAGGTCAAGGTCACTATTATCCTAAAACTGAAAATTGTTTCCGCAGCATAACTTAAGTTCCATTTGGTCCACAGTATTCAAACTTTATAGGAGAATGTCCATATTGGGTAGAAGACACCTATTGATTTGGGGGTCACAAGGTCAAAGATCAAGGTTACTATCACCTTTAAACTGAAAACAGTTTTTACTCAATAACTCGAGCATTAATCAACCTACAGCTTAAGTACTTTCGGGCATATAATGCTCCGCCTAGCGGTGCTCTTGTTCTGATTTGTCATGCTACATGTATATTTTCCTCTAAAAAGCCACAGATTGTTTTTAAAAATTGCAAATAAAAGGCACAGTTTGCAGGTTTTTGCTACTCGTCATTTGAGATTATTGAATAGCACATCCCTCTATTATTGTGGATAAACAGGATAATCTGCTCTTTATTTTGTTAAGCAATTAGAAATACTGTTTTATAGTTTGCCAAATGTTTTTTACGATAACATCTTTTAGGAAATATGAAAATTGATGTTGAATACTTTTCAAATTAAAAATATGTAGTGAAAGAGTTAAGACTTAATTGGAAATTTTGAGGTTTGTTTTTATTTTAGGAAGGAAGAGTCAGCGGAAAAACGTCTGTCAAAGGCAAGAATAAATGATGAAATAGATTCAAAATTTGGTTTTGACCGATACAAAGATCCGCAGGAAAAAGTAGGATGGTTGATCAATATGCATCCTGTATGTATTTTATTATTTGATATGGTTGTTAAGATTTAAATTGTAAGCAAGCTAATGAATTTCAAAGTGTAGTTGTGAACTAAATAATCTTGATTAGTTTATCAGAAACAAAATATTGATATATCATCAATATTTTGACTTACATAAATTGATAACAGAATTTTTGAAGGTTGGACAAATAAAATATTGATTTATTTTCTATGAATATTAAACAAGCTTTTACTTTTTAGTTCAAAAATTTGTTTCATAATTATGTTTGCAATAATATATCTGTCTTATATTGTGGTTCAGATCGGTATATGTGGGGGTTCCCTGAGATATGGATATTCCTATCCGAACTGCAAACATGTCCGATATTTTTCCTTGCATATTCTACCATATTCCATTATATTTTAAACTCTACCATAATAAAACAATTTTCCATGGAAATTTAGGTCATTACACTAGTAACTATTTTCTTACAACAGCGTATGAAATCACTTCATTCATAACTGACTGTAAAATTACGTCTTCTAAGCGTGCCATTGTACAGCATGTGACTCATCTATTATCCCCATGCCAGATGAAATTTTCAGCATGGGTGAAACTAATGGAAACACCAGTCTGATTTGCAAAAATGAATTATAAAAACTTGTAGAAATCTTATATAAATCTTGTATTTAATGAATTTACAGTTTTGGGGTTTTTACATTATTTCATTGTAACATTTTAGGCAGATATAATGGATGAAGACAAGAGGCTTGTCAGTGCAGTAGACTATTACTTTATCCAAGATGATGGTGGCAGGTTTAAGGTAAGATTATGAAATTATTTGATTTTCCTGGATTGGATCATTATTATGTGACTGCTTTTCAAATTGCCTCACAATTTTTAAAGTAGAAAAATTGACAAAACTTGTTTCACACATATTCCTTTGTTACTTATTGACTTAAATAATCGTTTCATTGACAAGAGCAATCTTGGATGTTTTCGTATGTAACATTTAAATATATAATCCTATTCAAAGTTAAACAATACATCTATCTAATGTATGTACTATGTATGATTATGCTGAAATTCTGTTTCATATTTTAAATAATGTTTATAAAGCAAATAATAATTGCAAAAACACTTAAAAATGACAAAAGTATTGGAGAGATAGAAGTTTGTGTGTTCCATGTGTTTGCCAGTTTAATACTGAGAAGAGCTTTAAAGAGTGGATGATGATTTTAAAATTTGCTTTATAGGCCACACTTCAGTATAGACCTTATTTCTATGTCTTGACAAAGAAGAGTTCTGAGCGGGAGGTAGCTTCATTTCTTACCAAGAAATTTTCTGGAAAGATAACAAGTGTGGAAACTGTCAATAAAGAGGATTTAGATCTGGTATGTAACTTGGAAAGTTTTGTCTTGACCTTTGAACTTTTCTCTTTGCTTAGATATTTTTGTAAAAATGTTGTAAGTTAAACATCTTTCAATATGTTTTTGTTTCCATGTCATAGATTTAAATAATTTGTTAAAATTGGCAAACATTATAGACAGGTAGGGACATTTTCCTTTGAAATAGATGGACTGTTACATTTTTTTTTTCTTTCAGGCAAATCATTTAGTAGGCCTGAAGAGGCAATATCTTAAATTGTCTTTCCTAACTGTGGATGATCTGGGAAAAGTGAAACGTGAGATTCACTCAGCTGTTCGAAAGAATAAAGAAAGAGACAAATCAAATGAAATCTATACAAGGTTAGTAAAGGCATGTGTTTTGTTCTTTAATAACATCCATAAAAATGACTGGAACAGAAGAATTTTAAGAATTAACAAGTGCTTGTTTGGTCCTTGGCCAACTTGGATTTGTTTTACTTCTTTTTAACATGTTATGAGTTGCAGCTCTTTGTGTTTTCATGTTTATGCCTAAGCAATATCACTACTTTGAATCATATGTCCATTACTGTGTCATAATTAAGGACTCGTAAAACATATTTTCTTTTCTTCAGTTATATGGATGAAGAAGATGCTGTCTCTAGAAAAATCATAGATCAGATGGACAATATCACAGATATAAGGTAACCACTTCAGAGAATTAAACATTGTATAGATGTCTAATGTATGTTTTAAATAAAACTTGATGCTCCCTGCCAATTAAAGGAAAAAAATACTGGAAACATAAATTGGTTCATTTCTTTTGTCTCACTTGTGTAATATTTTGATAGTAAAAAGTATGCATTTTGATTATATAAAAAAAATGTGCACATTATCTCCTTACTAAGGCTTACAAGATTAGTTGATTTGCTCAGAAAGGTAATCTTTGCTTATGTCAAATAGTATGTAGTTTTATTTCGCTCTTGTTTTTCAGGGAACATGATGTTCCGTATCATGTTAGAGTTTCAATTGACCTTTGTTTAAATGTTGGTCATTGGTACTCTGTAAGAGGGAGGGGTAGTATGCCACCAGAAATTACCAGGAGAGAAGATCTTGTACATAGACCTGTAAGATTTTTCAGCAAGAATATTTGAAATTATTTTCTAGTAAACTTGAAATTGATTTTACATATAGTACTGGCATAAATTTTGGTCTAACAGAATACAAGAAAGCCTGCCAAATGCTTAAATACTTTAATTGGAGGAAATGTAATGTGAATTTCTATCAGTTTTAGGTTTTTAAATCACTGCACATTTTAGCACAAAGTGATTCATATAAAATTTTAAAGAAAGCCTTTAACTGTTGATCAAGTGTAAGTGAGAACTCCTGTGGCTGTGAGATTAAGTTCAGATTTATTTCAGGAACCAATTGTACTTGCCTTTGACATAGAGACAACCAAGCTACCCCTCAAGTTTCCAGACTCGTCAATAGATCAGATAATTATGATATCATATATGATAGATGGACAAGGATTCTTGATAACAAATAGAGAAATCATTTCTCAAGATATAGAAGACTTTGAATATACTCCAAGGCCTGAGTTTCCTGGACCATTTATCATATTCAATGAATCAGATGAGGTAAGAGTCTGTGAAGTTATTGTATTTCTATTATCATCTTATCTGTTAAAAATAGTAAAATGTCTGCAGTGATTTTTCTCCTGTATATTAGATGTTTGTAAAAGCAAAAAAATCAAAATTTTCTTTAAGATCAAGCATTTTCCCAAATATCTAAACTTGCACCAGCTTTTTTACTTTTCCAAATTAGCAATTTCAGCGTTAAATTCCTGCCAAACTCTAGAGGCTAAGACCTCTTCCCAATTCTGTGAGTAAAACCACTGGTCTGTTTACAACTTGAGATAGGTAAAGTAATGTCAAATAAAGCGAGTCAATATGGTACATCTGGTCTTAAGTTTACTGAAAGAAAAGACATAAATGCTTGAAATATTTTGAAAAATATGTCAATCCACTTTAAGAGATCTTTTGGTCTCAAAATTTACTTTAAAAATCATTATGAGTTCCTTGATCATCACTGCCCTGTTGTAAAAGCTCTGTTGCATTGACCTGTGTCAATTTGGGAAATAATGAATCGATTTTCATTGGGCTTGATCAGTTATACCATTTCAGAAAAACCAGAAATAATTTTACCTATGACTATGAGAATGATTTTCAGCCATTACGACACAATTGTTGCATATAGTATTTCTGCTTTCAGTTCAATCTTCTAAAACGTTTCTTCGATCATATATTGGAAGTTAAACCACATATCATTGCCACTTACAATGGAGATATGTTTGACTGGTAAAATTTTACTTTAAAGATTTATATTTAAAATGATCTAGATGTAAAAACATAATACTAAATATTTTTTCCGAGCTTTAAGGAAAGCTATTGCCATTGATTTTATTTTTCAAAGCAGGTTTTCTATATAATATATTGCCAGTTCATGATGAGAATGTAGTAATTAGTGCACTTGGCAGCAATGTTTTTCTTGCTTTGTATATTGCCTTTTCCCCGTCAGCTTTCAAGATGCTACCCTGATAATAAAATTTTGTTTACGACCATCCAACGGGTTCCTGAGATATTCCTAAAAAGAAAAGAGTAGCAATTGGACTTTCATTTTGCTATTTGATTTACTAAATTTAAATCATTTACATTTATGTGAAATATGGATGTTGAAAGTAATCTTCAAAAATTATCTTCCAGGCCTTTTGTTGAAGCTCGAGCAGCATTTCATGGGCTTGATATGTCATTAGAGATTGGATTTTCAAAAGATAATCAAGGGGAGTTCAAATCTCGGCCAGCAGCTCACATGGATTGTTTCAAGTATGTATCTTTACTATTAATTTATTTTTAAGATCTAGAATGGTTATTTATTCAGTTTAGTTAGCATCATGTCAAATCCCAGCTTCTGCAAAAACTTTACTGAATTTTTGAAAAAAAAAATTTTTGGGCTCTTAAGGTCTTGCTTAAGAATAGATCATTTAACACTGAAATTTGGTTGATAATGTATTTAGATTAGAGCGGTGCTTGATTTTCTTTTGTCTTGCCATTATAGCCCTTTAGGGTAAAATCATTTGCTGGATATGTTTATGAAAAGAAGAGAGAGAAAAAACATAGTCTCTTATAATTCTATTGTAGAATGGTCATGTGTACTTCTTTATCAATTTTAATATGTTTTATGTATATATATGTATGCATATGAAAGAGACTGAAATAAACATATAAAAAAATTAGAAACTATTTTATTTTTTTTTCAGATGGGTGAAAAGAGACAGTTATCTCCCAGTAGGTAGTCAGGGATTAAAAGCAGTGGCAAAGGTAAACAATTTTGTACTTAACTTTCAAATATGCTTTCTTTGATTAACCTTTTCCCTTATATAAGCGTGTTTCGACGGCTTTTTGCCCCCCCCCCCCTTTTTTGAGGCCTCAAACAGTGAAAAAATGCCCTATTTAGGCCCCAAACACTGTCTTTTATTTGAGAAATGTTGTTAAAAAAAGTGACCATTTTTTCGGCGCCGTCCCCCATCCAAATATTACACCAGGGGGTTGCCAGAAGGGGGATGTGCCCCCTTCTGTTTGGGGGGTTTGAAGGGGGGCGGAGTCCCCCTCATCGCCAAGAAAATTTTGGACTTGTGAGAGGCTTAAAATGACCCCAGGTCGATCATAAGGTAACGTGTAACCAACGCTGAAAAGCCTTTGACTCTATCTCAATCCCTTGAGAAGTTGCAGCACTTTGAACTAAATTTTGATGGAAAAAATCGAGGCAAAAAAGTGATTTTTGGCAATTTTGAGATGTCCCCTCGTTGCCATGGTAACAGGAAATTTAAGACTGAGCATGTCGTTACAAAGGCAATGGTCCAGTCAACATTTGTGCCAAGTTTGATAAGTATTGAAGCATTTTTCATAGTTTCATAGCAGTTTGAACTTGTAACAGGAGGCTTTTCAGTGAAAATGGCCATTTTTCACAATATGCTCATGGGGGAAAGGGTTAACTAAAAAAATTGTTAATGTTACAAAACAACAATTTTTCACCAAAATTAGGTAATAGACCACATGTTAACATGGAAAAACCAGATTTTTGGTGATTCCAAGGTTTTTCATCATTTTTTGTTAACCTTTTCCCTTATATAAGCGTGTTTCGACGGCTTTTTGCCCCCCCCCCCTTTTTTGAGGCCTCAAACAGTGAAAAAATGCCCTATTTAGGCCCCAAACACTGTCTTTTGTTTGAGAAATGTTGTTAAAAAAAGTGACCATTTTTTCGGCGCCGTCCCCCATCCAAATATTACACCAGGGGGTTGCCAGAAGGGGGATGTGCCCCCTTCTGTTTGGGGGGTTTGAAGGGGGGCGGAGTCCCCCTCATCGCCAAGAAAATTTTGGACTTGTGAGAGGCTTAAAATGACCCCAGGTCGATCATAAGGTAACGTGTAACCAACGCTGAAAAGCCTTTGACTCTATCTCAATCCCTTGAGAAGTTGCAGCACTTTGAACTAAATTTTGATGGAAAAAATCGAGGCAAAAAAGTGATTTTTGGCAATTTTGAGATGTCCCCTCGTTGCCATGGTAACAGAAAATTTAAGACTGAGCATGTCGTTACAAAGGCAATGGTCCAGTCAACATTTGTGCCAAGTTTGATTAGTATTGAAGCATTTTTCATAGTTTCATAGCAGTTTGAACTTGTAACAGGAGGCTTTTCAGTGAAAATGGCCATTTTTCACAATATGCTCATGGGGGAAAGGGTTAACAGAAGTTGGCTGGACATATACTTAGAATTTTGTCTCATCTCACCAGACATAATAATAAATGATATGTATATTTTTTAGGCAAAGTTAAGATATGACCCAACTGAACTTGATCCAGAGGACATGTGTCGAATGGCTACGGAAGAACCACAGGTGTGTTTCATTTGTCATTTGTTAACTGTATATAGTTAACACTTTAAACCTTAAAGGTAAAACTTGCCCACCTAAGATAAGCTTGCTTCAAATCTTTGTTATGTAGTAAAATATGGTTTGTAGTTCTTATTTTGAGTAATCAGTTCCAAAAGATTATGTCTGAAAGCTTGGTATTGTGGTGTGTTTGAATGACTATATATATCAGACTATTAAAATAAGGATTGCTAACTATTTCCTTGAGCAAGAAACTTGCACATCACATCATATTGGTTACTTCCAGGAATAGATTTGAGAGTGTGTCCATTAGAAGCTTCTGGCTGTCTACACAACCAAACTTAAATAAATTCTGTATAAACTAATGCTTAATAAAATGACCTCCAATATGAAAAAAAAAATACAAATCGCATTGAAATAAAAATGATTTTTGCAGCTGTTGGGTAATAGACTCGATACCTTATTTAGTGTACACTTAACAAAAGTTCTAACCGATCACTTTTTAAATTTTGATTATTTTATAACGGGTCAATAGATCCTTATGAAATTTTGCAGAGGTAATTTTTGTGTCATTTCCTACCGATTTCTGGAAAGAAATATAATTTAATACGGTTCCACGCACTCACGCGGGAGACAGGGCGCAGTTTACACATTTTGGCACGAAATGTTCGTGCAGAGCGTGGTGAGTATTAAATTTTACATTGCATAAATCCTTGTTAACTTTATAAGTGAAAAAACATAAAACATGGCACGAATATCGATGCAGGATCGTGCCGTAGCAGTAGGAATGTTGAATGCTGGAGTCTCTATCAGACAGGTTAGTGGCTGTTCATAACAATATTTTTTTTTAAATATCGATAAAGTATTATTTAAATAGAAAATGTTATAACTTTATTATTCTCAATGTGTTCATTCTCTTCGAAACAAAATAAAAATCGGATCTATTGGTTTTATTCTTTTTCATATATAAGCGAAAACTCAGGGTGATCGGTTAGAACTTTTGTTCAGTGTATCTAGTAATTTTATAAGAAGCTGTAGGTCAGTGCTGCTTTTTAGCCAAAAATAGAACATGTGTAACAAGTTATACTGTTTAAGTAATTGAAATATTTGTTAATGATTTCAACAGGTGCTGTCCAACTACTCTGTATCTGACGCTGTAGCAACATTCTATCTGTATCAGGAATATGTTCATCCGTTCATCTTTGCACTGTGTACTATCATTCCTATGGAACCAGATGAGGTAGTTTGTTAAAGCTGATGTCAATTATTTGAACATAGAAAAAGTATTTGAATTGAATTTTCAGAAAGCTTACCAACTTAATCAAAAATTGTACATGAAAAAAAAACAAACAAAAAAAACAACTTAATTTAGGAAGTAAATTTCTAAAAGAAAAACTTGTTTGTAGAATATTGCCGTCATAATTTTGTTCTGGGCATGTTTAAAAAAAGATACAGAGATAATATGATTTATAAATTTCCTGTAGGTATTGAGAAAAGGTTCTGGAACTCTCTGTGAAGCACTTTTGATGGTACAGGCATACCATGCAAACATAGTTTTTCCAAACAAGCAAGAGTCAATATTAAATAAACTGACAGAAGGTGGTCATATGTTGGACTCCGAGACTTATGTTGGTGGACATGTTGAAGCTTTAGAGTCTGGTGTATTTAGAGCTGATATTCCATGCAGATTTAGGATGGTATGTATTTTTGTCAAGAATTATTGCATTGTTTAAATGAATAAGAATGGCTTATGCTTGACAGCATTTTGTTTTAAGCATATAGGATGTTAACTAATTAAGCAATTGATACAATACTGAATTTGAAAGGTTATTGCCTATCATTTATTTGCTTTTACTCTTTTCTTCCATTAAAATGAGATTACCTGTGTTCACAGATGTATTCTTGTAATTGGCAGTAATGAAAGAATTTTAAAATATTCATTGAGCGCACATGTAAAAATGATGCTTCTCTTTGTGAAAGCAATTAAAACATTTTCTATATTATTGATTAAAGTGGAATCTCTAATTATTCAATGATTCAGTTCATTCTTGAACTAAAGTTATGTTTTTATTTAGGTACCAGAAGCTTTCCAAAATCTTATTGACAAAGTGGAAGGGACGATGAAATTTTCCATTGAAGTTGAAGAGAAAATACCTATGGACCAAGTTACAAATTTTGATGAAGTTTGTATATTTGTTGGTTATGAATTAACTTTTTGCTAGGGATTAAACGATGATCGAGTATAAACAATAATTGATCGTTTATAGGATCGATTAGCGATGATCGAATACAAAGTTCAATAATCGATCATCGGTTATTTATCTTCTTGCTGTTACTTAAGTGACTCACTGTATTATAACAACACTTTAAATTAAAGCCAGCTTTGGTTTACCCAATAATTTTCATTAAAATGAATGAGAAAGCATACTGGTGACCATGAGGTTAATAGTTGACAGTGAGGCATTCTAGTTTACAGACATACTATGCTCAAATTTGAAATTAGAAAATTGCTACACTGTCTATTTGTAAATATTAAATAAACATGTTTTGACTTCAAACAAAAAAGATATGTATAAAATTATTCTACACACTAAACTAAAGATGGTTACAATATAAATATATAGTGTCATTAAAAAAACCTGGCATTTTTATTAATGACCAACTTCTCTTGTTCCCATACATAGCTTATTCATTCCTTTATTGGAATTGAGACATAATAATTTCATAGATATAATGAATTTATTTGATTAAAATATTTTACTCCAGGATGAACATAAGTATGAGTAACTAGTTTATTTCAGTTGATTAAGTGGTAGTTTACACAAAATATAGAATATTAATGGAATTCTTATAAATATTAAAGCATGATATGTGCATTGTACATATTTACTTTGTTATCATAAATGTTTCGATTATATAATCGAAGATTGATCGAAAAAGGTTGTTCGATTATTTTCGATGATCGATTATGATTTTTGTCCGATTAAGAAACCCTACTTTTTGCTTAAAATTTAATCTTAGTCTGATTAAGTCTGAGCAGCAAAACAAAACAAAGAAAATGAAGACCTTTCTGAAAGCAGTTGGTTCTGAACAATCTAAATGTTTGTTAATTTGAAAGTACAAGATGCAAGACTGTTAGCAACAAGCTCATAGTAATAATATATATCACTAAAATTCATGTAAAGTATTAAGATAGTAATTTAAGCTAGCCATATTGTGACATAATCTCTATGAATAGCCTATAGGTCAAACTTCTTGTTTTCAATCTGATATATGGCAGATGAAAAAAGAAAAAAGATTGACTTATGAAGTTATAAACATTAGAAGAAGGAAAATATACAGTCGACATTGTATTAAGAGACCACTCAAGGGACTGCCAAAAAGTGGTCTCTTAATAAAGTGGTCTCTCAATAGAATTCTGGAAAATTCGAGACTTTTTTATATTACAAGTCATAGATATAATAGCATCTTTTTTATAAAAACAAAAACTACAATATTATGTATGTATTACAGTTTTATAATTACATTTATGCCTTATTTTAAAAAAGTCATCAATATGTATTTGTTTTTTAGTAGAAATTTGTGTACAAATGTGATCTATGCTCATAATACTATCAACAGGTAATTTTGACCCTGAAACAAAGCATATTGTCTTGTATTGTTAATATGTTCATACACATCTCCTGCTGAACATACTTTCGAATCATCAGGCTCCAGAGCTCCAGATAATTTTTCATGCAATGAGTTTTAAACTTCTTGATTTTTTCAGCAATTAGTTTTCACACTACCCCGATTTCAAATTCAAAAAGGTTCTTAGAGATCTAGGATTTTTTTTTGTCGAAGGGTCATATTTAACGGAGTACTACATGTATTTTATAAATCATCAGATGAGCAACTACACCATCAGCAATGAAAGACTCGGTTCTGTAATGTTTAGTCCGCTACGTTTCGACTACAAACAATTACATTTGCTATTTACTCAGACTCAATTCCATGCACGATTTCCTCATTCAATTTATCCGGTCTTATTAGTTGTCTGTCAATTTTTTCGCTCGCTCCGACGTCTTTTTCGATTTGATTTTCTGGAAGGGAGGTCACTCTGAGCACATGGCAAATGCGGTGTTGTGATACGTTATTGCTCTGACAAAATATGTCACAATTAATATTACGATCTTTCTTTCTTTCCGATTTTGAAACGATTGCAATTGTTTTTCAATTCGTTTTTAAACGACAATTATTTGTGACGGTCGTTTAAAAGATACTTTAAGACCAATGACCATGAAAAATATTTGTTTGTTTGCTAGTACACATCAAACCTACTCGCTGATTACACAGGTGAGAATGCCTGTAGGGACGATTATTTGTCACGGCCGTTTAATAGATACTTTAACACTTTATTTTGTCAATTTGGGCCGACATTTAGTGGCCGCTGGCCGCGATATGAAATCGTCGTTAAATGGAATTAAATTATATAGTAAAAATCATCGGGAGGGATTTTATGCGGCCGCTTAATAAAAAAGTCGCTTAATAAAGGTGGACGCAAGTACGATGCCGACTGTATATTCTTTTAGTTTTAGTGAATACCACTTCATTTAATTCATTATCATTTTACTTGCTAACTTTCTATTTTTGTTTGTATTTAGGTTTGTTCGGATATTATAGAAAGACTGTCAATGTTGAGAGACTGTCCAAATCGTTTAGAGAACCCAATTATATATCATTTAGATGTAGGAGCTATGTACCCAAATATCATCTTGACAAATAGATTACAGGTATTTACCTTTGATAGCTCTTGTTAGCTGACTGTACACAAGTTAAAAGCTGTCTCTGTAAATTGACACCTCAGAGATCAATCTTAGTGTTTCCTAGGTTAACTGTTATTATTTTTAGTGCAGTTTTATATTTACCAATATCAATTTTATAAGGTCATTCTACATGAGCTCCCAGCTGATGCAAAGAACTTGTGAATGGTTGGCATAATTACTTGCATCTTTTGAAACTTAACATGTATATTATATTTGCCCCATAGCATAATTGCATCCTCAATATTGAAGAATAAATATAATTGTCTTCACCTGGCAGTCCAGTTTATATATAATACAGTTTGTAGGAAGGACCTGAGGAATAGAAATTTCATTGCAACAGACAAAAGGTTCAAGATTTTCACAAGTACCATGATTTTTCTGAATCCTTTATTACCTATATGCATGCTAGAAGTGAGCAGCGTTAATCTTAGTAAGTCTGATTATATCATTATAGCAGGTTGACTTACCTGGTATTTTTACCAGATAGGCTGTCCCAACTACATGGAAAAATTCTTCAGACCATCCTAACTTTTACTGTATAGCTTAGTAGTTGTGACGGTCTTCCAGAATGACTGAATAATATTTGCCTTGAATAGATCAAATGAAAAAATGAATAAATTGTCATGCATCATTGATACCAAACAGTGTATACCATACTTGGGCATCAAGTTATATATTGTAATTTCTTAATAAAAATATGAACTGAAAATTTACATACATTTTTCTTACTAATTTTAGCCACCTGCAATTGTTGATGAAGCTACTTGTGCAGCATGTGATTTTAACAAACCAGGAGCTACATGTCAGCGGAAGATGCCATGGATGTGGAGGGGAGAAATAAGTAGGCTGAATTTGTGTTCTATTCAAGCTTAATTTGTGTTGTTTTATTCAAACAAAAAGGAGTAATTGAATTTCAAGCTTCTCATTTTTAGCTCTACTTATTAAAAAAACATGGAAGAATTGTAATTGTAATGAAAGACCTACATTTGTGATAATAACCTTTTTTTGTAAAAGTATATTTTATCAAAACTACTAGGTATGGTATATTCACTTCAAACTTAGTATACATCTTAACCAAAATACAACACCATTTCAAAAGGGACAGGTAATCTTGAAATTATTTTTTGCAAAGTTAAGACCAATTTTGGAAAGCTTTAATTATGCAACTCGGCACTAAGGAAAATGGTTCCAATGGTGATTTGAAGAAATGTTTGCAACAGATTGTGTTTTATGTCTTGTTTTGGATGAATTCTTGTTTGTGACGGTACTGTCAAAGTGGTTGTGATATGTGATTATTTATTCAGATCACAGCCTGCTTTGATATTCTCACCATGAACATTCCCTCAATTTATGCTTTTTATACATTACCATGTGAAGAGAATGAACACAAGGAAATTTTCAATTACTCAAAAATTGACGATAGTAAGATATGTCTGAAATATTTAATTTTCGTTAAGACAATAGGATAGGTGCAAATCAAAGTGACTGTGAATTGTTGTTGATTCTCAAATCACAGTCTGCTTTGGTGAGCATCTGCCTGTAACTATTCTTAAAAGTGTCCAGACAGATCAACACAAAGGAGGGGAGAGTTGCCAGCATTACACACAGGAGAGGAGAGTTACCAACAATACACACAGGAGAGGAGTAACCATCATTACACATAGGAGAGGAGAGTTACCAACATTTCACATAGTGGAGAGTTACAAACATTACACACAGAGGAGAGGTACCAACATTACTTTCAGGAGAGGAGAGTACCAACATTACACTAGGAGTGGAGTGGAGAGCTACCAACATTACACACAGGAGAGTTAACAATTTTACACTAGTGTTGAGTTACCATCATTACACACATGAGAGAAGAGTTTCCATCATTACACACAGGAGAGGAGAGTTACCAACATTACACACAGGAGAGTTACCAACATTTATCACTTGGAATCAACAGGATAATAATATTTATAAACTGACATGGTAGTCTATGATTACTGGCATCCTCTTTTAATTCCTTAAAGCAGCATGCCTCCGAATTCATGCAAGTGAACTGTTGACAACTTGGAGACCATTGAGAGGGTTTGTGAACTGTTGACAATTTGGAGACCATTGAGAGGGTTTGTGAACTGTTGACAATTTGGAGACCATTGAGAGGGTTTGTGAACTGTTGACAATTTGGAGACCATTGAGGGGGTTTGTGAACTGTTGACAATTTGGAGACCATTGAGAGGGTTTGTGAACTGTTGACAATTTGGAGACCATTGAGGGGGTTTGTGAACTGTTGACAATTTGGAGACCATTGAGAGGGTTTGTGAACTGTTGACAATTTGGAGACCATTGAGAGGGTTTGTGAACTGTTGACAATTTGGAGACCATTTAACAGATTTATGAAATGGTGCAATGCAGGAGTTAATAGTTTGTGGATTTTTGACATTTTGAGGGATTTAGCAATTCATTATCATGGTTTGTGTACTATCTGCACTTTAGAAGTAATCAACTGTTTTTGACAATATGGAAGTTATCAAGATTAAAAACAGTTGTCTGTTCAGCTCTGATGTGATGGAGAATCATTTATTATATGTTGACAATCGAAGCCATCAAGAAGGTTTGTGAACTGATGTGATATTGCAGATCACAGCCTGCTTTGGTGAGCTTCTGTTGGCAATACACAAGATTTCTTTAAGAGGAGAACAAGGGAAAGTGAAAGTGCAATCAACCTTTTATTGTGAAGGACACCAGGTTGTAGATCTTTTATTTGTTTGTTTATATTTAACTCACCTGAGCACAACATGCTCATGGTGAGCTTTTTAGTTTTGGGATCTCCCAACAATTTCTTTAAACAATTTCTCCTGAAACTAAGGTGGTTCCCCCATCAAATGTTTAAATGGTTTTGGTCTGTTGCATCAGTATGCCACAGGTTAAAGAATGCAAATTTTAAGAATGTTGTCTGAAAGTACAAGTCTTGGATATTTTGCATAAACATAGTAGACCTGCATCATGATTGTTCCAATTATAGGCCCGAGGGTCAACATTGTCCCCGCCCTGAGAGTCCTCTGTTGTCCATAGTAAAAGACACCAATGACCTATTATTGTGTTGTTAGTCATTACCAGCAGATGACTCCTATTAGTTTTTAGGACAGTTGGTTAGAGGTCAAGAATTTGTCAAACTTTTTAATAAAGGTTAAAACATTCTGTTCTGAGTGGTTTAGAGCAGATGGCCTGTCCCCCTTTAAAAAGTTTTGTCCAGTGGATATTATCCTGTAGAGAAGATAACATTGATCTGAAATTCATTGTGTTTCAATAACTGCACAACTTAAATCTATAACATCCGCCCTCTTACTTTTTCTGAAAGATGGTAAGTAGTGTGCATCTTACGATAAATATTAGTGTTTACTTAAAAGAAATTCTATCCATATCCAACAAAAAATTAAAAACTTCATTCAATGTTGCCTATACGAGGGATGATAAAAAAATAACCGGACTTTGTAAATGATTCTTTACCTGTTAAATGAATTAACATAAAAGTACACGGAAAATAAATCGGAATCTATCCCCTAAATGGTACAAAAAATACCAACAAGAAATATTAACTAATAAAAAAGTTATGCTGTCATTGGCATGTACATGTAAAGCAATGCGGTGCACGGTATAACTTTGAAATTGACGTTAACAACGTCACAAGCGTATTTTCCTTAATAGAGCAGCTTTTTACTCATTCACGGAGTAGGCCAATTTATACGTGGTACAATCATGTTGTTGATGCGGCGGATCCACTGCCTATTTATAGTTCTGTACAATTGGGTATCATAGTGTATTGTAAAAAAATATATTATTATAAAGAGCTCCTGTAACTTCCGTTCTTTCCATCTGTAACTTGATTGTTGGAAAAATCGCACACGCAATAATCTATATTATGTATTACAAATAATGTAAAATAATGTTGCAGAATGATTATGTATCATACATAAGAAAAAAAATAAAAGAATAATACAACTATGAACAAAATTGTCATTATTTTAAAATAAATAAAACGCATAGCCGATTTTGAACAGTGACTGTCTAATTGTTGACACAATTTCTCCATAAAACTACTGCGTAAAATAAGAAAATAATTGATACAATTGTAAACCAAGAATACAATATATGTAATTAATGCATTAACTATTATCATTTTAAAATCCTTAGAGTTGACTTCACCGTCCCGTAGCTACTGTCGAACATGGTTGACAATGTCCGCAGTCAATCGACTGTTATTTTTCAACGTCTTGGCGATTGACGTCACCAACGTCCTTGAAAATTTCTTTTTTCTGTCTCTCCTTTACTTGTTTTCTATTTCTCTATTACCCTTTCTTAATTCTTTATGCCAATCAAAAATATGCTGTGGCTTTCTAAAACTTTTCCCTTGATAGCCATAATCTTTTTCTACGTTTTAAACAGTTTCTCTCCTTACTTTTGACAAATTTTTCTTATTGATCGATTTTTAAGACATTCCGACGACATTGTTTTAACGGGAACATTTAACATATAACGTTTAAATTTTGATTGCAAATATAAAAATGGTTTAAATGAAGTCATTTTTACTGATAACGTCAACGATATGGTTCATGACGTTTTGGCGTATTTTGAAATATACGCAGCTTTAAGCGCCTGATGTCAAGGCGAATTTACGCACTGCACCGGGTATGCGTTACCATGGTTTTTGAATTCTCTGTTACGGACAAGCTTTTTACGTTATCAGATTAGATAAAGCATCAGTTTACAGGTGTTGTTTTCCGATTAAGTGTGATCTATACCAATAAGTGATAGGTTGAAAATTTTTCAATTTACATTCTCAGTCCGGTTTATTTTTGATCAACCCTTGTATTTATATATCGCTATAGATTAATGCAATAAAACTGCAAATTTTTGTTTTGGAAAGTTTTTTTGTGTCTGTCTTACTTAAACCTTTGATTAATTTATGATAATAAAAATTGACAAGGTTTTACAACTGGTTTTGATAGCCTGTTAAACAGCCAATCAACCGCTTTGTTCTTTATCGGCATGATAATATAGTTGTATATTCAGTCTCGAGTGATTTTCAAATATAAAAATATTTTATATCTTGAGCAATTGTTTGCAGTTGTTAACTACAGATGATTTATACAAGTACTTGAAATTTGTTATCAAATTTTCTTTCTTATTTATAATTTGAAATTACCAAACTAGGATATCACAATTTTGAACTGATGATTCCAGGATGAACTGATGCCAAGGATGGGAGAAAGCTTTTTCTAGACATAATTGATGAGGAATACTACCTGCCTGGTGACATGGAAGCAGTTGCAGAGAAAAATGAAACGCCTGTCAAAGTGGCTGTGAACTGGTGTATAATTTTTCAGATCACAGCCTGCTTTGATGAGCCTTTCTGAAGCACATCAGGATTACACTATTGTTTAAACAATTTCATCATACAGAAATGTGGGGTAGAACTGGCAAAAGGAATTTTCCTCTAAAAGCCATCAAAGAGGCTGTGAACTGCTATTTTGTTGACAGATCACAGTCTGCTTTGGTGAGTTTTAGAATGAATATGCTGCAAGAAGCCAAAAGGAGTAAAATAGACATATTGATATTTCTTACAAGCAGCAGATGATCTCTGCTCAGGACATGTAATCAAGTGTTTCTTTTCCATCACAATGCTTTCCATAAGTACCAGGGCCAAAACATCATTTTTGGAGATGGGGCCTCAGCCTTTTTCTTGGGGAAAATTACAGCGCTATTTGCTTATTTGGGGAAAACGAGACAGTTTCATTGGCAGGATAAAAGAAGTTAATTTATTCATTAATGGGTGTGAACAAATTAAGAGTAATCCATAATATTTGGGGGAAAAAACGCCCTAGACTTTCTTTGATATGAAAAAAAGTTAATTCATAGTCCCTTTTAGATCTATTAGTTCCAAAAAAGGTAAAGACAGTTAACTTATTTAGCATAAGTCTTAAAAGATGTTTAAATTTGAGTCCCTTTCTTAAAAAAGGATTGAACATTAATAAAAATGCTTGAATTTGATTGCTCTCTTTAAAAAGGGCTTAAATTTGCTACAAATATGCTTGAAAATGATTCAAGATATACTATGCTCATCTTTGAGTAAAATATTTTTATCAAAGAAATTTGTTAAAACCTATGAAATTCCCATCGAATATGTCTAATTCGAATAAACAAATTAATAAACTATGTATTAAAAGGCGTGTTCTTTTTTACAGAAGAAGTAAAAACTGGCTTTTCTTAAAAAATACTGCCAGTTTTTTTAACAACGATATATATTCATATTGTGATCACCTATAGTGTGTCGAGTTTTAACATGAAATATCTACTTTGTGTGAAGTCAAAACATGTTTATTTTATATTTACAAAGAGACTGTGTAGCAATTACCAATAATTCCTGATATCAAATTTGAGCATAGTATATCTTTAAAAGACAGTGCTGGTAAAATTTGACAGTTATTAATAGAAAAACAGTGATCAAATTTAGTACCTAAATCAATGGATAATGATGAAATTTGCTGTTCATGCAGGATTAGTTAGTTGTACCTTACATGGAAACATATTAGAATATCATATAATGTTCAATGTATGCTGTTTAGCAGTCGAGAATAAAGTTTCAAATGTTTTATTACTGTTTTATAGTTACTTTATCATTGGTTATAAATGATGTGTGCTTGAAAATGGGTAAACATGCTTAAAATGTGCTTGATTTTTGACATTGGACTGAATTACAGCTGTCATTGATTCTTATATAATATATTTTTCTTGCATTTAGTCATTCACCAGAGCATTAAGATTATCAGAGAAGCCTTCAACAATCCTGCTCATCTGTACAAATACATAAACATTTAACAAAAGTTCTATAAAAATTAACAAAAGTGATTTAACACAAGTTCTACAAAAAATAACAAACGTGATAGCTTTGTTTTTTCAACGAAAGCACATTAAACACTTGCAAGGTAATAAAGTACATGTAACCAATATGCAAAGTAGGGGGAAATTACATCATGTCAGCTGGGACAAGGCACATATATAAGATCAATGTGCATACCCCTGTAGATAGATGTTTATAATTGCTAAATTTGAAGCACAGGTCATCCTGGTGGTGTTGTAAAGAAATCCATCTAATTTTTTACCTTTCTCTGTTAATTTTGGCTCTATATTGTGTAGGGTATTTTTATAGGACTGCGGAATTTTGAGGGGGGGGGGGGGAAGAGTCTAGTTGATTGGTTAAGTGGCTGATATTCAGCTTCTTCAAAGAAGGGTTTTTGGCCCCGAGTACCTATGTATTTACTGTTAAAGCAGAACTATTACATTACTTGCAGAACACTTGCTAAGGAAATTGTAATGAGCTTTCAGGCTTTTACAAAAAAATATATAGGAAAATAAAGTTAAATTCTCTCGAAACAAAATATATAAAAACTGAATTCTCTTTTCAGTGCCTGCTAGCAGAAGTGAATATCATCGTATACAACAACAGCTTGAAAATGAAAAGTTTCCGCCAAGGGAACCAGGAGGGCCTCCTCGAGCTTTTCATGAACTATCTAAGCTGGAACAGGCAGAAATTGAAAAAAAAAGATTAGCAGGTGCATAGGTTGAAGAATGCTTTTGAATAGACCTTATTAAAGCAATCAATTATTATAATATACAATTCATTTTGGTGTAGTACATCACTTGTGTTTAGTATAAATGAGATTCTGTTAAGGCTGATTTTTCTTTGACTTTAAGACCCTTCAATATGGGTCATTTTTGGTTATAGTATGGTGAATGTTGGGCGGCGGGCGGGCGGGGCAAAAACTTTCGTAACAGTTTTCTCAGCAACCACTTATCACAGCCTTTTAATATTTGGTATACAGCATCAACACATGCACGGGGGAGGAAGTGTTACACGAAGGATGGAGTTCTTATGATAACTTGTTTGGAGTTCTTATGATAACTGTCACTGAGTTCCTGGAAAACGTTACGGATTTCTGTGGAAAACTTTTTCTATATAACTTGGAGAACTCGCGTAAAAATGGTTTATTTTTTAACTTTAAATGGGGAGTTTGAGGTGCTAAATTAAACTTTGATAATTAAGCTTGCCCTAAACATATTGAAAATTTTGTTTCAGAAAAAATCTTTTAGTTCATATTTGTCGCCTTTTTTTAAAAAAAATCTGGTAGTTTTTGAGAAAAATTACCAAATTACTTGCTAATTCGTACATATTGACCTTTTCATTTGTGATCTTCTTCGTTGCTATACTTAATTACCTAATTATTATGGAGAGTTGCAAACATAAAGCCCACCGCTAATAAATTTATACCTGATTTTTCAAATGTTACGGAGTTCTTGCGATAACTCAAAATATGTCCTGGAGTTCTTATGATAACTTTTTGTTACTGCAGTGTGTTTTTGTGCTTAATCACGGCACGTTTAAGCGTATTTTATTAGTCAATAAGTGTGTAAATCATTATGAAGCATAGTACGCTTATCATTTGAACAAAAATTTGGTTATATAACGTTGGTTTTGATCGTGTTTTTCAGTTCAAGAGATATTTTTCTTACCTCCGTTTCTTGTGTGTTTTTTGGTTTGTTTTGGTCTTTTTGTGTGTGTGTTTTTTTGTTTTTTTTATTGGAATGACTGTAAACATACTTAATGTAGAGCATTTACCTACAGGATAAAAATACGCTTTGAATTTAATACTCAAGCATGATTTCTTCATATATACATTATTCCTGGCAGTTTTAGAGAACATTTAGTAACAATGCTATCGGTATGCGTGTAAACGGTTTTCAGCAAAATAGGAGGTAATAAGCACTACCTTTATCTAAATTTAATGAGGTGGGTGTCGTCTTTATGTATTCAACGGGTATTTCAATTTCTAAAATTTATCAGTTTTTGTCAAAGAAACGTATAAAGTTCTATGACAATGATATGACGATAGAAAGTAAGTCTTCAATAAGATATGTGAGTCACCGTAAGGTTCATGCCGTTTATCGACCTTGTTCCTTTCTCTATTACATCCAATGCTACATGCCGTTTATCGACCTTGTTCCTTTCTCTATTACATCCAATGTAGCATCACGTGACGTACAGCAATCTCCATATTTCGGAAAATTGCTGCATACATTTTTCTTATCAAAGTTGGAGTCCTAGTTGTGGAAATTTTGCAACAACTTTTGCTGTAATTGATTACAAAAATATGTTGTCGAACTTCTTTTGCTCGAACCCGTAGGGCACGTGCAAATCTGTCGAAGAGATCGGTAGTAATCGGTTGATTTTTTATGCATAAAAAGATCATACATTTCGGGTGCATGGGTTGAAGGGTATCCCGGTTTCTATACGATACATGGTATTATCATT